TCCATCTATCTATCTATCTATCTATCTATCTATCTATCTATCTATCTATCTTTTCATACTTTTTAAAACTGTTTAAACTAAATAAACTATTACCGTCAGGCTTTCACAAGCCAGCCTCAAAGTTTGTTTTCAAACTTTAGGAATCTAGTTCTTCTTCTTCTTCTTATTCTTCTGAGACTAATTTTAAAGTGTATCTCCTCCTAAACTTTTCAAGCTTCATACTTCAAACTTTCGTCAAACCTTCAAACTGGTCTGACTCGGGTTGCTATATCTTTTCCGACTGATCCGACTTTCAGTTTTCCGAAAAACGACCCGGAAAATTCCCAAAATTCCCATTGACTTAACATTGGGTCAAACTTTGTGACCTCATAACTCTGCATCAGACTGTCCTACAGACTTCTAACTGGGCTCATTTAACTCAGTCTAGCCAGCAGCCAATAACTGATGACCTTTTAACTTACTAGCCACTCCCTAGCAACCACTTTTGGCACCCTAGCAACTGTCCCATAGACTTCCATTGTAAAAGACTGCCATTGACTTAACATTGAGTCAACCTTTGTGAGCTCATAACTCTGCATCAGTCTGTCCTACAGACTAGAGTCAGGCCTCATTCAACTCAGTAGCCAATCACTGATGACCTTTAGACTTACTAGCCACTCCCTAGCAACCACTTATGGCACCCTAGCAACTGTCCCGTAGACTTCCATTGTAAAAGACTCTCATTGACTTAACATGGGATCAAACTTTGTGAGCTCATAACTCTGCATCAGACTGTCATACAGACTAATGGCTGAGCTCATTTAACTCAGACTACCAAACTGCCAATAAATGATTAGCTTTTAACTTTCTAGCCACACCCCTAACTACCACATACTGCACCCTAGCAACTGTCCCGTAGACTTCCATTACAAAAGACTCTCATTGACTTAACATGGGATCAAACTTTGTGAGCTCATAACTCTGCATCAGACTGTCATACAGACTAATGGCTGAGCTCATTTGACTCAGACTACCAAACTGCCAATAACTGATGAGCTTTTAACTTTCTAGCCACACCCCTAACTACCACATACTGCACCCTAGCAACTGTCCCGTAGACTTCCATTAAAATAGGCCAAGATGCATATCTTTGCAAAGCAGTGTCATAGAGACATGGGGGTTGGTTCTTTGACTAAGACAACCAACCACATTCAAGTTCACTCTGTAACCTCGCCCATAGCAACAAAACAGAATACCCTAGCAACCATTCATCAACAGCTATATCTCAGCATCAGAACATCGTAGAGACTTGGAGATTGGCTCGTTTGACTCATGCTAGCAAACGGAACTTCCTATATGCTACACATGCTAGCAGTGACTAGCTACATGCTAATATTGACTAGCCAAGTACTGTAACTTGCTAGAAATGCTTACTAAGTATAAATGTTTTATCAAGCATGTATGTGAGGCTTGCCTAGTAACCAACCAGGGTACCCTAGCAACTGCCTAGCAACCACCCAAATTACCCTAGCAACCGCCTAGCAACCACCTAGCAACAGCCTAGTAATGCCTTAGTAAGGGCCTAGCGACCACTCAGGACACCCTAGCAACCGCCTAGCAACGCCTTAGCAACCACTCAGAATACCTTAGCAACCACCTAGCAACACCTTAGCAACCACCTAGCAACAACTCAGAACACTCTAGCAACTGCCTAGTAACGCCTTAGCAACTACCTAGCAACCACTCAGGACACCCTAGCAACCGCCTAGCAACACCTTAGCAACCACCTAGCAACCACTCAGGACACCCTAGCAACCACCTAGCAACACCTTAGCAACCACTCAGAATACCCTAGCAACAATCTAGCAACCACTTAGGACACCTTAGCAACCACCTAGCAACACCTTAGCAACCACCTAGCAACCACTCAGAACACCCTAGCAACCGCCTAGCAACACCTTAGCAACCACCTAGCAACCACTTACTACACCCTAGCAACCGCCTAGCAACACCTTAGCAACCACTTAGGACACCTTAGCAACCACCTAGCAACCACTCAGAACACCCTAGCAACCGCCTAGCAACACCTTAGCAACCACCTAGCAACCACTCAGGACACCCTAGCAACCACCTAGCAACACCTTAGCAACCACCTAGCAACCACTCAGGACACCCTAGCAACCACCTAGCAACGCCTTAGCAACCACTCAGAATACCCTAGCAACCACCTAGCAACCACTTAGGACACCTTAGCAACCACCTAGCAACACCTTAGCAACCACTCAGAACACCATAGCAACCGCCTAGCAACACCTTAGCAACCACCTAGCAACCACTCAGAATACCCTAGCGACCACCTTGCAACACCTTAGTAACCACTTAGCAACTAGTCAGAACACCTTAGCAACTGCCTAGCACCACCTAAGCAACCACCTAGCAACCATTCAAAACACCCTAGCAACCGTCTAGCAACACCTTAGCAACCACCTAGCAACTAGTCAGACCACCTTAGCAACTGCCTTGCACCACCTTAGCAACCACCTAGCAACCACTTAAAACACCCTAGCAACCGCCTAGTAAAATGATAATTCATGCTAGAATCATGCTAACAACATGCTAATTCATGCTAGAATCATGCTAGTAACATGCTAATTCATGCTAGAATCATGCTAGTAACATGCTAATTCATGCTAGAATCATGCTAACAACATGCTAATTCATGCTAGAATCATGCTAATTCATGTAAGAATCATGCTACTAACATGCTAATTCATGCTAGTAATATGTTAATTCAAGCTAAAATCATACTAACATTCTATTTACACTTTAAAACCACTTCAAACTTTCAGATTCGGCTTTTCAAGCCACCATAAAGTTTGTCCTCAAACTTTAATATCTAGTTACAATTTGTTATTGCTTTCTGTGAAAATATAGTCCTCTGTGAAAAGTCTTGGTGTTATTTTTGATTTTGAGTTTAAATTTAAAAAATGTACGCTACCGGTCAAATGTTTGGGGTCAGGTTTTTTTTAATTATAATATTATTTAATAATTTAAATACAACTATTCTGTTCATCAAGGCGGCATTTATTAAATGTAAAAAAAAGTTCAATTGTTAAATTCTTACTTATTAAATATTTATTACATACTTACTGCATGTAGTTTCAAATTAAATTATTACGCCAGTCATTATTGCTTTTCTTACAATTACCATTAATAATAATTCTAGTAATAATAACAATGACACGAATAATTCAAATTAAAGTGATTTCTAAAGGAAGACTATGAAGACTGGAATAAGGAAGCTGAAAGTTCATTCATTCAATCATTCTAATCTAATAAATATAAAACCCATCACTGAGAAACATCCATACACACTCATTCACACACATATACAGACAATTTAGCTTATCCAATTCACCTATACCACGTCTTTGGACTTGTGGGGGGAAACCGGAGCACCCGGAGGAAACCCACGTGAAAACAGGGAGAACATGCAAACTTCACACAGAAATTCCAGCTGACCCAGCCGAGGCTCAAACCAGGGACCTTTTTGCTCTGAGGCGATCGTGCTACACACTGCGTCATCGTGTCACCAAGCTGAAAATTCATCATTAAAATCACTGGAATTAATTATTAAATTAAATGATAAGCTACGCTTGAACAGTTATTTTGTTGTGCAATAACATTTCACATTTTTACCATTTGTACTGTGTTTATGATGAAATAAATGCAGCCTTGGTGAGCAGAAGAAGCTTATTTTAAAACATTTAAAAATCCTACTGACTTTTATCTTAGGTCTATTGTCAAGTTGAAGTCTGTCCTCTCTTTCAGTAATTAGTATATATCAACCTGTGAGATCTCTTCGCTTTAAGGATCGACTATATCTGGAAGTTTCACAATCATACTTGAAATGTCAAGGTGTAGGAGCTCTTTCAGTAGCAGCACCAAGACTTTCACAAGATCTTCTACTATCCTTGAAATCATCTCCTACTCTGGAGACATTTTAGAAGTCACTGACAACACACTTACTGTATTTTCTTTAGCTTTTAATCAATATGTCATAAGTTTATGTATTTGGGCTTTTTGATTGTATGTATTTTGTGTTTTATGTACAGCGCTTTGGTTGTTTGAAAGTGTTTAATAATAAAAAGTTGAGTTGATTAATGCCTAGAAAAATATGTCAATTAACAGTTTATTATAGTTTGTGACAAGTTTAGTAGTTTGAAACAATTTATTGTCTTTGTTGGTCAGGTAAATTAAAATCTGGATAATGAGCTTATAATCTCTGCTATTTTACAGATTTATTTCTATGTAAACTATATTTTATTAATACACTTTATTGTTATCAACTTCAAAAATAATGTTTTAAAAAGTCAATCTGTTAAACTGCAGAGTTCAATTTTCAGTTCCAAAAGTTGTCTAAGCACAAATCAAAATTACACAATGCAAATTTTAAAGCATAAATAATTTCTTTTTTGACAGTGAGCGAAACACAAAAATATAATAAATTCTCAGAAATTTTAGCTTAGGGATCCTTTTGATACATGCTTTAAGTATTATTTGGTGGAAATGGAATGGATGGATTTATATTAAAATTAATTAAAATTTATTAAAATTAACTAAAATCTTTAGAAATGGCAGGTCAACCAGTAAACAACCTGTTATCATGTACATGATTCTTTAAATATTGATTATTGTATATAACTACAAAAAATATATACAACTTTCCCTCTATCAAATAGCCTAGTTTATTTCATTTAGTTTATCAGTTCAGTTTAAACTTTTACATTATTTTACTCTTTATTTTATATGAGTGACCCTGTATATTTTTTGTACTTTAAAATAAATGAATTCTGAAGTTGCTGTTTATAAAAACGTCTGCTCCTTTAACTCATTTAGAGGCGTGCCCTGCTGTCAGAGTGAATTTGATTGACAGGAGAGAAACTGGAGCCGCTCAGCCTGTAGTATCCACGCCGGAGCTGCAGCGCACCTTCTCGTGTCACACCCCCTTCTGTGACTCTGAGTGAGCACATAAAGCTGCTTTACATCACCCGACTCGAATAGTTCACCCCATTCACGGGTTGAGATGCAGTTTGGTTAGGATATAAAACGACACGTTTGTCATTTGGAGTTAAAAACTTTTTTTTAATCATTGGGTTTGTTTGTAACGCGCAACGATTTAAACGCGGACTTCAGATGACGTGAACTGGATATCGCCGTCTTTGCGGTTACTTGTGAATGATATTGTTTACAAAACGAAAGGAAACCATTTCACTGACCTGTAACATTTGGCAGTAGCTGAATCCTCCCATCGTGGACTAAATCGAATTATAGGTAAGAACTTTTATTTTTAAAGAAACCAATGAGGATAGAAATGTTGCTAAAACATGGTAACACATTTACTTTAACACGTGAATCTTCCAGACATTTACTGTCATTTGAATGTTTTATTACTAAACATGTAAAGGTAAAAAAGAGAAGAAGAAAAAATGCCCAAGTAAAAATAAAATAAAGGAAGATTCTGTAAAAGGAAAAAAAGAAAAAAGAGAAAATGTCCAAGTAAAAAAAAAGACAAATGTACAATTTTGTAAAGGAGAACTGTTGTTTTGAATTTTAGTTATTTATTATAAAACACAGACAGCTCATTTTAGAAAATCCTATTCCAACATAAAGCTTTTACTTTTGAGGTAATTAACACACTACTTATGGATGGTGAGCTATATGAATTTAAGAGATATTTAAATAACAACAATTGCTCGCCGAAATTAAAATATTTAAATAATAAAAATGTAAATCTTCAGTTTACAATCAGCTTTATTACATTTTAGTATTTAACCTTAGGTGTATGGTTGTGTTTCATTTGCCTTGAATGTAAAAATGTAACTTTTCTTTACACCACACATTTTATTATTTGTGTCATTATTGTAGCATAGACATACACCATCCATCTTTTGTAAAATTTATAGGAAACATCAGGTAGTAAAATACTTAAAATATAAGGTATTTCTTAATAATGGATAATATTAATGTGTGAAAAACTTTGTCTATCAGAACAGTGTCATACCATGCTAATAACACATTTTTTAAACTAATCTAAACTCTTGTTTGGGGTTAGATGTTGTATAAGACTATCTAGTTACTACTGGCTGTGCTCTTGGAACAATAAGACGTTAACCTCTTTTTGCCTTTTCAGTAGCTCACTATGTATGTCAATGGGAAAGTCAGCTAATTTTTTTTTAACTCAGTTTTGTCAAACATACTAGAGTAAGCTTTGAGTTATCATTACACCAAGATATTTAATATCATTCTCATAAGACTAAAATAGAGGAGACCTTCAACTGATGAGTTCCCTTGTGAAATAAACAGATGCAGCGATGACAGCAAGATGAGATGCTAGTCATCACAAAATGAATGAGGGCCTACAGCCCAACATTGAACCCCATGTATAAAAGGCTTGACCAAAATGAGAAAAAAGATTACTCTTAGGCTGTTTTGTGTCTTATATGACTTAATCTCTTTTCTGTTCAAACTTAAAGGTGAGATTTACACAACTTTAAAGTCATACCTCACACGTCTACTGTGTTTGACCTTAGAAAACTTAAAAAAGACTGCTTAAATTCTATGAACTGTTATTATTGAATTCTTATAATGTTATTTGACAATTTAATCACATTATTTGTATGAAAAAAGTAAGCTCTCCCTACCTACAGACAAAAAAATAATCTTTATTGTCACTGTGCAAAGTACAATACAGAACCAATGAAATTCAGTTAGAGTGATTTCAGTTCTTTTTTAATTGTTAGTTGGTTCATCTAGTGGGTAGTGTCTAGTGGTCAACACTTGAGGTTTGAGTTCAGTAGGCTGACGGCTGAGGAATCGTAATTGTTTTATTGATGTGCAAATTGATGTTATGTCATGTTATGTCTTGAGAGTCCAAAAGCTTGTGTAATTAAGGCTACAGTGACACTATATGATTCAGATTATCAAAGCAAAAGCATTAAAACATACTTCTTTTATATAAATTTATAAGACATGATATGTATCATTACACAAGCGATAGTGCTTTTTTTCCTGAATATTAGCATGCATGCAAATGTGATACTGAATTTATATAGTTAACAGCTAAATAAACAAATGTTTTAATATTGAGTGAGTTACATTTTTGGCACAACATTTTGTTGGGCTTTATTGATTCTCCCATTAATAGTTGTAGAACCATTTGTGTCTCAGTGTAACTCTCTGATGTTCTGTTTCTTAATGAATTTTTGTATATTTCACCTTTATTGTTCTATCCTGGTGTAATTATCTGTCTAACCTTTTTTAGACATCTTTAAGAATGGCAATCTTTATCTGTTTTATCTGTATAACTGACTAACAATAACACTCACTATGTATTCTTTTATTGTTTGTTTAAAAACAGCGCAAAACTAACTGAGATGATTTGAAGTGCTTATATTTATACACTGTAAAAAATTTATTTTGCAAATAATTGTCTGTATTTTTACATAATTTTATTGTTTTTATTGTACAGTTTAATACATGTTTTAAATTTTTTTTTTGTATTTCAAAATTATAATTTATATATAATTGCTAGTGTTTTGGGATTACTTTTCAGTTTTTAAATAAAAAAACGTTAATGAAAAAAAAATGTAAATTTACATTAATATTTACAGAATATTCCTGTAAAATATGACTATGAATAATTTTAACCTCGACTATATATATATATATATATATATATATATATATATATATATATATATATATATATATATATATACATATATACAGTTCAAGTCTGAATTATTAGTCCTTGTGTTTGTTGTTTCCCCAATTTCTGGGGGAAACAGAGAGCAGATTATTTTAACACATTTCTAAACATAATAGTTTTAATAACTAATTTCTAATATCTGATTTATTTTATCTTTGCCATGATGACAGTAAATAATATTTGACTAGATATTTTTCAAGACACTTCTATACAGCTTAAAGTGACATTTAAAGGCTTAACTAGGTTAATTAGGTTAACTATGCATGTTAGGGTAATTAGGCAAGTTATTGTATACTGATGGTTTGTTCTGTAGACTATTGAAAAAAATTGCCTAAATTTGCTAATAAAATAATTTCGGGCTCGAACAAATCCTCTGAGCCAACGATCCATTCATAAGCCCAGTCAGCCAGCAGCAGTTTTGAAAGAACAATTAAATCAAAATTAATTTGAAGGACTTGCCACCACCAAACCAGTAAAGTTACCAGCACAATAACTATTAACGAAACCTTTTTGCAGCATAAAATTTGCATAATTAAATGTTTAAGTGATTTTTAATCAGGGATCCTCAGCATTTTTTGCTTCCAAAAATTATCAGCCACTTTCGATTTTTAGCCTGAAGAGAAAAAAATATTCATAAACATGATAATAAGCCATGCTTTCCCTCTCCCTCCAGCCATAGTCACAGCACAATGCAAAGTGATGTTCAATCTGGATGTGGAAAGACTAGCTTGCATACACAGCATTGTCAAAGTTCTGATTATTAGCTCAATATTCCACTCTGTGAATATTCTGCTCATCTACATTATCTTATCTCTGCATGAACTGCACACATGCTGCCAAAATAATACTTTGAAAGGATAATTTTCAAATAAAAATTTTCAAATAGAATAAAAATATGTAATAGATCCCCCACAGTCCAAAGACGGTACAGGTGAATTGGGTAGGCTAAATTGTCCGTAGTGTATGAGTTTGCGTGAATGAGTGTTAGTGGATGTTTCCCAGAAATGGGTTGCGGCTGGAAGGGCATCAGCTGCGTAAAAACTTGCTGGATAAGTTGGTGGTTCATTCCGCTGTGGCGACCCCGGATTAATTAAAGGGATTGAGCCAACAAGAAAATGAATGAATGAATGAATATGTAATAGATTCCTGCTGCTTGAAAAAGCACTACTGGGCTGTCATGGCATCACTCAACTGTAAATAAAATGTTTTTTTTAATAACTATAATTTAAGGTATTTAGTAAAAGTGTCACAAAATTACTTTATATTATTTTATTAAATAGTTAATACAAAGCATTTTCGATTTCGGTGTTCAGCCAAGTGCATCCAGAATTTTAGGTTTCAGACCAGTCTTTTTATTTCTGTGTATTCCTTTTTAATTTTTAAGTAGACTATTATTGGGTTTATCACAATGAAAAAATACAGAGCCTCCCAGGTTCTTCTGATGTCATGCAATGGTATGGTACTATAACTCATATATTAATAGAATTGCTGAAGACATTAATTCAGAGCTCTACAATCAATCAAGTTTGACTTCAGAAGCCTTTAAAAGTCATTCTTATGTCAACTTCAGTCAGGTTTTCCTACATCTGTTTTGGAAAGAATGTGGCAGTTGTTGTGCCTATTGACAAGAGACTTGTTTTGCTTGATTGTCCAAAGCAGATAACAAATGGGATTTTGGTGCTGCTGGTGGTGCATCTGTTTTCTCGCTGATAGAGCGCCCCGAGTGAGTGTTGGGAGCATATTGCAGTCGCGTTGGGTTGCACCATTGTTTGCATCAACTTTCCCCCCTTTATCGAACAGGTGAGAAAGACCAAGTGCAGCTGTCGCTGTTGGGAGGCATCTAGATGTGTGTGCGTGTGTGTGCACAAGCACAAGGGTATGACCACCGGAGATGTTTGACGCAGACATTTTTAGCCTTCAAATCCTTTTGATTAGTCTATGAAACACACTCCACTCCCAGACGGACAAATAGTCGTGCCGATACTTTATTGATCCTGTCAGGAAAATTGAGTATCAGCTAAACACGGATTACAAGACAGCTGCTGTACAGTACTATGCTTCGAAATGAATTCCGCAAACTTTTGCAACCCCTGTGAAGATGTCTTTATTATCATAAATGTGTCATGATCAGACTCCTGCCCCCTTATGAGTCAATTAGACCCCCGTTTACTGGAGGGAAGCTATAATGTTTACAGATGAAAGTGACTGGTGGCATGTTATTTTCCTGTTGTCTCTATTTTAAGCATCCGAAACCAGCTTTGCTAATCTGTAAAAACAGGTGCTGAAGAAAAGAAACTCTTAGTGTTGGGGTGTTAAAAATGTCTTATTTGAGATCTTGCATGAATACTTATGATAAGGAATGTGACACGATTTGAAAATTATGTTTTAGTTATTGCTTCTTCATGTTAAAAACTAAACGTAATTTGTTTTACACCAATATATTGTTCAAATCAGTCGATTCGAATGTTATCACTCGATTGAATGGGCGTTATCAGTGGTTATCAGCTGATAGATATGGGCCAGTAGGGGCCTTCTGCGCCTTTTAGTAATAAGCTAAAGATCACATACAGCTGCAGCAGGAAGTTAATGAAAATTATTTATTAAAATTTATTATTTATTGTATTTTATAAACATCTACCGCTACCCTCAACTCTAAAACCAAACGTCGCAGTAATGTAAAAACAGATCAGGATCTGGAGTCTTTACTATTAGTATAGCTGATTAACGATGAGAATTATTTATATTATTTATTACATTTCCCATTAATTATATTTTATTAACGTCTCCAACATCACAACATCATGTAAAAACTGGATCTAGAGTCTTTTCTATTAGTATAGTTAGTTAATCATGTGGATGGATGATAACAGCATTCTGAACCTACCGGTAGGCGGAGAAGCCCCTACTGGGCATATCTATCAGCTGATAACCACTGATATCGTCCATTCAATTGAGTGATAACATTCAAATCGGGTAACTTATTTTCATGACAGGTTACTCACTGGCAGGTTAAGGATATATTGAGGATATATTGAGTATTTAGTCTATGTATTTACTGAACTGCTCATGTTTGGAGTTTTGACGTTAAGAAGGTGTGCATACTGAGTGTGTTTGCACTTTTATTGTTTGTATGTCTTGATTAAAATGGACAGTTTGACAGATGAGGTGTTGGTCCCTTTTTACTTTGGCCTACTTGGGTTGAAAAACTACTGTCAGAATTTACTGAAGACAAACAGTGCAAGGCAAGTTTATTTATATAGCACATTTCATGCACAATGGTAATTCAAAGTGCGTTACATGAACAGAAATAAAAGAAAAAAGAAAAAAATGAATAAAAAAAAACAGATTAAAATGTGTGAAAACAAGTATATATCCAACTGCGGACCCGCAAAACCACACACGTTTCAGGCACACACAATCTAGCACACACGATCTAGGCAAACCATATATGGTTATATATATATATATAATCCTTGTAATTTTGTAATGCTAAATTTTTTCCAACTATAAGTACCACAAATTGCCTGTACTTTATGGTTTAAAAACAATATATTGCTTACTATAAATTACTATAGTATTTAATGTGTTAATCATTAATAAAAATATATTAGACAATTGAGAAAATAAACACTATTAAATTGCTGGAGTAAAATATTAATCTAGTGTTATACATTTATTACATGTAAAAAGATGTTTATTACATATAAATATGTATTATTGCCTATATGAAGGTGGATTGTGAATCATTAGTGAAGAAAAGATACAGACACTTACTTTTTTGGAGTTCCCCTTTCAGATGTAAAATATTATGACAGGATAGTATTTACAGTAAAGGAATCATGCAAGGTTGATTTACTAAGGTTTAGAATTCAGTTTACTAGGGATGCTTACTTGATCGATACTTGTTAATACCCGACTCAATCGATACTTGTTAATCTGACCGATCTCATGAACTGATCATAAGTGTTTGTTTACAAGTTTACAAGCAGAGGAAGATGCATCTGGGTTATGCTGAACCTGGGTTATGCTGCGCCTGGGTTATGCATCTGCAGCGCTACAACACATGAGCAGTGTTTCCAAATTGCATTATTAGTCATTTTTCTTACCATTTTTTTTCTGTTTTATCTATTATCTTTTTGTAAAGCTACATCTGACCATTACATGTATGCAACATCCTTAATGTATTATCTTAGGTAAGGCGAGATCTCATACTTAAAGAGTAATTGTGCTTCTGCAATGGCAAAGTTAAAGCAGGAAGAATCAGAATCTGTACTCGCCATCGGCAGATAACCATCACAAGGAATCGGTACTCTGTATCCGCTGCAAAAATCTTGATCGGAGCATCCCTACAGTTTACTAGTATTTGTGTCATTATTTACTCCCTCAAAAAGCATATTTGTTTTGTGCTCTTTTATTCATGCGTTATCAGTATACACTTGTGGAATGTTCCATTTGCATTATAATAGGGTTGTGTTCTTGTGCAGATTTTTGTTTTGTTTTGTAAATATAGTCTAATGTTTCTCAATAGCTCTGTTTCCATCCACCTATTTTTATGCACATTTTAAAACCCTGGATGGAAACGCCAAGATGTGCATACATTTTGAAAATGCACATTAAAAAAATATGCGCACAACTGAGTAGGATTTTTAATAAAATGCACATAAACTGCAATGGAAATGCTTTTACCGAATAAATTCCAGCATGTGCATTAAAAACTGTCATGTGATTTTGTTATAAAAGATCATGTGATAATAAAAATGGTATTAATGGGCAAACCAGTGGGCCGACATCACCCCAGTGGTTCAGTATTATTATACCTCCAGAACCATCTTGAGCACTTCTTTGTTGCATTGTCTTCTGAGATGCAAATAATTTGTTACAACATAAAAAGACTCAAGCAGCTTCTCCTTCCTCAGCGAATTCTGTTTTTCTTTTTGATATCTGGGGTTAGTTTATCAGGAAGTGATGATTTTGTTGTCTTTGACTCGTTGGATGGAAATGCAGCATTATTCGCAAATCTATATGCGATATTTCAGTTTTGCGCATGAATTTAATTCGCATCTTTGAGTGGAAACATAGCAAATAAAAGTAACAAGAATATTGGACATGAGGTACACTATATTAAATTGTTACTGAAGGACAATTAAATGCACTAGCACGTGCTGCACTAGTCGTATGTTTGGCACTAATTTAATGGTTAAACAATGAGCCTGATATCCAGTTAATCGTAGTGTGTTACCATAGTCTTTTAATATACAGTAGAAGAAAAGTAGCTTAGAAACTCTGCACAGCAAGCCAAACGTCTGGATGTCTGGAGGCTGCAGGAAATTACGGACTGCTGGCCAAAGCCAACAAGCAGTCAAAAGGAATATAAAAAGAGGCTTTAGGTTAATTTTGGCCTGTGTTTACTAAAAGAGCAGCACAGATCTGCTTGGACTAGCATGCTATACAAAAAATACCACACTGAATTGTAGCTTAAGCATTCAGTCTGCAATTTCCTGTTTGCAAAGCAAACTCTTATACACCTCAAAAAGTAAAAGCTTACAGATAGCATTGCTAAACCTCAGGCTCAATTTTATGTCATACACAGGCTTACCTGAAAAATGCCAGTAAATCTTGAGGCTTGTATTTTCCATGTAGAGCCAAGAGAAAATCTATCATGCAACAGAATGTTTAAAAAAAGAGAAAGGAATGATAGTCGTAGCCATAAAGTTTATTAAAATATGCTCTAACGCTAAAAACATTAACAATATCATTCCGATCACATTGAGTTGTTTTATTCCTGCTGATTAATGATAGAAATATTGACAGTCAATCTAAATCACGTCAGCTTTAAAGAGCCTGAGCATTAAAGTGGCAGATGACAATGACATAAGTACATTGTGTGCTTATAATAAACTATGTTATCATCTGCTGGTGTGAATGCTATACAGGGCTTTGTAAATGGGTCTTAAAGGGGACCTAATATGCAAATATGACTTTTATAAGGGGTTTTAATACAGTGGTGTTGCAAAAGTTTGTGAATATAGCCAGCCTCTAGTGCTGAAAATGAATAAATAAATAGTTTTCATAATTACACTTTATAAAAAAACAGTCTGCAAAAACACTTTGATTGACATTTTCCCTTTGTACATGTCATCGGAGAGGAAAGTCCCGCCCATTAGTAGATATCTCTCCCTCATTAGCGTAAACCGCCCTGAGTGAGAAGCAGCCTTCCGCCATTATGCTGTTTACACCAAATGCGGATGAAGCGTCAATGTCAATGGAAAGATGCGAATAGACCTCCTGTGGTGCGATTCACTTATGTTAGAAAATCTGAACTTTAGCAGAGATTTGCACATCTTCAACCAATCAGGAGCTTGCATTAGTATGGGCGTGATTATGATGTAGCGCCTGTTGTTGGTGTCCCGAAGGGAAATCCTCCTATCAACACCGGACAACAGCTCATCAAACTGGGCTCGGCTCAGTCTAAAGCACCACTGAAAGCTTCCATCATCCAGTTTTGGAAGGACTTGATGAACTCAGAGCTGGGGGCAGTCCACTGAAAAGATCTAGTGGACGCCGAACAAATATACGCTGTTTTTCAGCCTTCCCAAAGCACATAAAGCACAGTAACACTGCCCATGACACAAATTTGTGTCTATTGTGAAGTAGTTCGTACGAATTTGAACTCAAAATGTTCATTTGTCTATTTACAGGTGAATATCGTGATTTATTCATGCATGCCACGTCTGGTGTGAACACAGCATTAGAGTTTTCACCTGCTGACGATAATGTTAGAGCCTAAGATGGTTATATATGTGAAGTTTAAGGATGCACATATGAACACTGTAGTCTTTATAGCACAGGATTCAAACTGCCAGGTCACAGGCCATTTACGGTTCCCCTCCTCCACCCCACTCGTCTGCGCAACTAACATCTAAAATATAACAAGAATCAGCCTATTAAAACATATAGTTTTGAATCACTATCATTGTTGTGCAGTCACATACTGTATAGCCACTTGTGGTTTTGACCTACCAACTACTGCTTTCACACCTAGACTTTTGTTTTGTAACCTGTCTTGTTTGCCAAGTTTGTGTGGTTCGTTTGGCATATTTGAATCCAGCAATCGTGCTCGGATCCACACCAAATGAATCGGTCCAAGATCGCCTTAATGAGGTGATCTCAGCTTAATTGAAACAAACTCGGGAGCAGATCAATTGTGAGAAAGCGATACGGTAAGAGCATGGCTATATCACAGTGTGTCATGGATATGTCACAGGCATATATACGGCTATATTGAGATCTTGTAAAAAAGAGGCATAATAGGTCCCCTTTAAAGGTCTATTTCTGTGCATTTGTTATCCTTATCTCAACACTTCTAATGTATCCGTTAAGTGACAGCTATTTGTTTGTGATGGCTCATCAATCACTTTGTGCAGACACCGTAAACAGATAGCTTTAGCGTGGTGGCGTACTTGGTTGTGAATGCAAGCCTAGTAAATGCAGGCTGGAATTGAATCTATGTTTAGTAACTTTAATTAATAGTAGCACTTATAACATTCGTACAGTTCCTGCTTTTATTGTTGTTGTTCCAACATGGATCTGTCATAATGTGCATTTGTGCAGCACTGATTGAGATTGTGACAGGGATGATGACAAGCAGTCAGGGTCCAGCTTATAATATGGATATTTTCAGGCACCGCAGTCGATGTAAAAGCTCTTTCTTTATCTCCGGTGCAAGTCTATTTTCAGCCACAGAGTGTTGTCTCTCTTTGATCACCAGTGCTCCCTATGGTAAAACACCAAGTGTGAGTCCAGCTAACCAGTCGAGGGCAGTTGTGGAGGGTAAAGATGATGGACAATGGACAGAATCACATTTCAACACCTCTTTAAATACATTTTGGGATAACATTAAAGAGCTAGTAAATCACTCTTGCCTCCATGCTAATGTGGCGTCACTTTACATCTGTCCTGCCAAAACCTGTAGCGATTCATCACATTTGTCCACATCAGTAGGCTCAGCACATATGGTGTGTGTTTCAGTTTTTTGGATTTGAAGGAAGTCAGATTGATTGAAGCTGATGTGTGCAATTTTTAGTGCTGAAAAACTTTTTCCTATTTAGGACTACTGTTCAATTCAATCCATCTTTATTTCTATAGCGCTTTAACAATGTAGATTGTGTCAACGCAGCTTAACATAGAAGTTCTAGTAGATTGAAACTGTCAGTTCAGTTTTCAGAGTTTAAGTTCAGTTTAGTTCAGTTAAGTCCAAACACTGAAGAGCAAACCCATCGATGTGCAGTCCCAAATCAAGCAAGCCAGTGGTGTTGGTGTTGAGGAACAAAACTTCACCGATTGATGAAAGTGAAGGAAAAAAAAACCTCAAGAGAAACCAGGCTCAGTTGGGAATGACCATTTCTCCTCTGGCCAAACTTCTTGTGCAGATCTGCAGTCTAGGCACCGGAGGCTGGAGAACACTGGACGTCTATCGTGGAGAACTGCAGGCATATGTAGATCACCGGCGCGTGTTCAGGCTGGCCCATGGCATCAATAGAGACTCGTCTGTCACTGTGGTATTTTAGGAATCAGTCTCATGCTTTCCCCTCCTCCATGACCACCACAGCATCTGCTCTGGATACGGCCTGGTCCAGGATTATGGAGACCTTGGCATCATTTCTTCACAGGTCTTGGATTGCATCAATGCCGCAGCATAATTTCTAGAGGCCTGGGGATGAGTAGCCCTAGGTGGAAAACTGTATAAGCAAGTCATTTGTAGGTCCCTATTATTTATTTGTTGTTTGTTGTTGTTGTTTGTGTTTGTTTCTTTGCTACAGAGCTGACACTGCTTTCTTAAAGATGAGATCAAATGAATTAGTGCTTATATATTTGATTTTTATTAGTTAGTTATGACATTTAGCACATATTGTGACATATTTCTTAATAGATTTTCAGTCCTCGGTTTTCTTAATAATTTCATTTGCATTTTTTTCCCATACAATTTATTTAAACACTTTGTTTTAGAATTATAAGCCATGAAACTGAAAAGTTGAATGAAAAGCCATGAATGTTATCATTAAGACTTCTTCTGTACGAAACAATTTTGAAAACGACTGGAAGAAAACATTTTATTTTTAGTACATTGCTGTTGTCTTTTTTAGTAAATAAATAAATAATTCAATGAACATGCTGTTTTAATATATAGAGACATTTAACTTTGCTGCTAAATATTATATATTAGGGAGACTGATTCTACAGCATATTATCATTAGCAGGCCTTCATGGAAAATGATAGTCTCCTAAAAGTAATTGTGGCACACATTTCTTGGTTTGATTTTTTGTTTGGTAGAGATTTCTTTGCTGAAAATGGTATTGTAGAAGTTTTTCAAAACTTTTGCCTATTAAAAGAGTTAAAACATCAGTTTTTGGATCTATTTCTGAGTCTAAAGGCTCAATGTTTACTGTGAAAAATCAGTTACTCTTAAAGAAAATGAATGTGCTTTCCTTCTATAATTTGATTTGCTTGCAGGACCCTGTTCTAGGACAACACTTATCTTAACATCTTCACATCAGTAATTGAAACTACCACTGCTTTCATGCCTCATTTCACACCACACATTCTCAAACTGTAAATGGAAACTTGTGTTTCAGCTATCAGGACAGATTAAGTGTGGAGTATTAATATTGCTTTATTGTGCTGTTCACATTGTTAGTTTGATTACATGTTTTAATAGTGGAAACTTTAATGTTAAGGTCATAAATCTTTTAAAAGGTAAACTCATATAAGTGTTTAATGTTTATTTAATGTAGCTGTGTAATGAGCTGTATTATTTACAGTTAGCCAGTCATTATTATGAAATAAACAGGCTATAAATTTTTGTTAACAAAGATGACTAAATGACTGCTGATTATTCTTTGCATAACCTTCAAGAACAGGCTTGTAGATTGATGTTTGCCCCTTATTCACAATTAATTCCTGCTGTGCATTTAAAGCTTTAGCTCTGTTTTTTCCAAGTTTTTTTTCATTCAGAGATTAAGAGATATGGAAAATGTAGTAGTGGCCAGCCAAGCCTTCTTAATATCCCAGAGAGAACTGTGTAGATGCATGAATAGTGATTTACTGTATGTGCAACTTTTACAGTTAACCTCTTGAAGACTTCTTACATACATTTTTCTAAAAGCATAATTAATTTTAATCGCTAAACATTTTGATCACAGAAGTCATATTGTTATTACTTGAACTTTGATTAATTCTTTTTTTTTGGGGTTGAATGGTTTTCATTTTGTTACAGGCACTTATGAGAGAGACTGCAAGCGACAATGTCTAAGACACAGAAATCAGAGTCCAGGTCTCGCTCTCGATCAGCCTCCAGATCAAGATCTCATTCTGATTCCCGTTCCCGCTCCAGATCTCAAAGCAGCTCCTCCAGATCCAGGACGAGGAAGCGCAGATATGGGTAAGTGTCAATTACACTAAATTAAAGCAGCTACTGGGTATAGCCTATCATTATGGCATGCAAATGTCATCATTTACTGGAAAGTTCAAAGCAAGTGTGTGCAGATGTGGAATGAAGGGAGTTGGTTTCGATTTTTAATTTCAGTTTTGAGTCCGTTTTTGCTCTTAAAAGTTTCAGTCAGCACTTTCAGTGACGTGTATTTAAATACATACCAGAAGCAGAAGGGACATTTTGTAATTACGCCTTTAAGAGGAAAAACTACTGAAATTATCACTTAATCAGTAGTAATTGTTTCCGTTTTACAGACTGCTGAGTGATTCATTTAGCCCTTTTCTCTCTTACATGTACAATCAGGACCACATGGAATTAGCACACAATGCTGAGTAAATAAACCCAGAAAGAAGTTTAGATTCCATCTGGGTCCGCTTATAGTCTTGTGTTTGGTGAACAGTGAACATTAAAGGTGCTGTATGTAAGTTTTTGACACTTCAAAAGCATAAAAATATCATCGTATGCTTGCAGATATTTAAGAAAATGCTAGGTAAATATTTGTGTTTTTCTGAAAAAACAATCCCACATAGCAAAATTTCTCTGGCCCAGCTCTGGCCCACACAATCAGGTTTTGCTTGGCCCACATGCCCCAGTGAATTACGGTACATGACTGGACCAAATCTGGCTACCAGACAAGGGCCAAACACGGACCATATCTGGGCCAAGTCTCAGCCAAGTTAATAACTCATAACTGGGCCTGAACTGGGCCAGATAGGTTGGTGTGTCACGATTGCAATGTAATTGATAAACCCGTGGAGTGATGCGCTTTAGGCACACTATGGGCACGCTTTTTCTCAAAGTGACCTGATTGGTAGAATTTTTTTTCTTTACTCAAAAATGATTTTAGTGTATTTTAAATGTGGGTCAAGACTGGCCAAACTCACATGGCCCACTTTTAAATTTTTAAATCTGGGCCAAATACTACGTTTTTCATCTGGCCCAAATCTTGTGTGCCGCCTCAAAGACGGTGCCACCTCTGCCAAACTCGGGCCATGTTTGGCCCACATGCTGTATGCCAGTGCCGGATGAATGCCTGCTGTGCCAGCATTATGCCAAATCTGGGCCAGAATTCTTTGCTACTAGGGATGTGTTTTCTATGCCTGAAAGCTTTCTTTGTTTTGGTTTTTTAGCCCGCCTAATGCTAGTTTAGCCAATTATGTGTACCCCAGGTTGCCTTCATAGAAAATCGTATATTTAATTTGTTTATTTGAAAAGCTCTCAAAGCATGTGTCCGTGACTGAAATGCGACCTCCAGTGGACAGAAGCAGACTCCTAAATGAGATGCAGATTCTGAGTTCCACATGAGGTTATTAATTAGCAAATAACATAAATATTACAAGCGTAAACATTGCGTGTCCTAACAATACGCTACGTGACGAGATTTGCAGTGATAAGCAATTTGGTTGTTTGTACTAGGGTTGGGTCCATATACAATGCCATCATCCATCTCTGATGGCTGATAGACATTACAATGCTGAACCAGCATCGCAGTCCTCCCCCTATCCCCATCACAGTAGCAACCTGCTTGTGAAAATTTCACACTTAGGTCTCGTTTACAGTAATACGTCTTAGTTTTAAAATAGCAATTTAGGATGAAAGCGATCTATGTCCACACTGGCCTTTCACCGAGCTTTTCTGAAAAGATCTCCGTCCATAATATACCGCTGAAAATGCATGTCACGTGACCACACACACAAACACACTCTGTCATGCTCTGCAGTGTAGACTATGACCCTGAGCCCCAGCAGTCACCCCAGAGAGCAGTGCACGTCGGACAGTTTATCAAGGATGTACCGCTGGATAGCGTCTCACTATAGTTGTTAAAGTTGTTTTGATCCAGGAATGCAATACAATCACTCAACCACTGGTTGCAGTACAACCAGTTCAACCACTGGGTGTCAAACTTATATACCGCACCTTTAACCACTTGTTCTGATCATACGAATATGCACAAATTCCAACGCAATAAGGCTTACCGTGTATTGAAAGATGCTCTTAAGGATTGAATGGGTTGAAAAACTGTTAACTTCTCACTTTGTCTGTAAACACACAACGGAATCCCATTGTAAACACACACACACACACACACCATGTGACTCATGCTCGGTTTCCCATCTGTGACTCATTTTAAATGAGGATCAATATTCCAGTGCCAGTGTGAGCCGTCTAGCCACAGCTGCCAGGCCAAAGTTATGTAAGGTACACCTTCGCGCATAAAGCAAAGTACCCTGTGCTTTGGCTTCCTTTGGTGTTGAAAAGGGGCTGCTCAGTCACTGTGATTTTACTCTCCATGTGTTTGTCAGCATTGCATAAAGTCTGATATTCGGGAAGGGCTGTGGCTTTGGATAGGCTCACCACACTTTCTTATTTCCCGTGCTGAAATTAAATTGTACTTTCCTTCACGTTCTGCTAGGACTGCTGGTTTTGCGCTTACAGCACAGTAGAGCTCCTTAGGTAGCCAAATGTAAACCGCGCTTGCCAAAAACTGCAGCACTGCGTTAGACAGAAAAACGGATGCATACTGTACTTGTGGCACTTTGTTTAGTTTTTTTTTTTTTTTTTTTTGAGAAGGCATGATTTTTCTTTCATAAGCTTGGAACCTTTTGCCCGTGTGGTTGACAGCGTACTTTGAGCCCAGTTGGAGAGAAGTACAGTGTTGATTTTTCATGCAAATGGAATCGGTGGAGGGCAAAATCTGATTCTCTTATTTGCAAGGGAAATCTAGTGAGCCTGGTTTCTCAGCGCTGACCACAGTTCAAGAAAGATGCTGCTGGAAAAAGCTTGACGCACACTTTTCATAAGAATGAAACTCAGCTGCATGCTTTGGAATTAAGTCAAACTGTCCAAATGAAATAAACTCTTGAGAGTACAAAGGTAAAAGAGCAGCTTGTCCAAAAATTGATGTCAAGCACACTTGATGTCAAAACAAGTAACATTTGATCTAATATTGGTGTCAAAAACACGTCAACAATTGATTACAGGACAGTCCTGTAATTTGATACCAATTTTAGACATCAAGTTATTCACCTTATTCTTAGCCGACGAGTGGGCGCAGCCATTTGAATCTTTTTGGCTTGAGACTTCCGGTCTGATTTACTTCCATTAATTTTTGGGCGTTAAAAACTGCTCGATACGCTGCTTGATGTTGCAAACTGATATTTTCTTATTATATTATTCTATGTAGTCTGTATAGTAATGCAAACATTTGTTTGTAGAGCAAGTAGTTTGACCGTTTTCTGCTGTTTATTATTCCTAGTTATTTCTCCCATAGGCGACTGAATCGGAAGTTCTAAAACAATTGCGAAAACTGGCGCACTTCCGCATTTTAGAATAAGGTCAATTGACATCAAATAGATTTTGACATGTTTTTTTGTTTGTTTGTTTTTTACTTTTTTATGATTAAATAATAAATCAAAATATTTTTATATTTCCCAGTGATGGGTTGCAGCTGGAAGGGTATGCGCTGTGTAAAACATATGCTAGATAAGTTGGCGGTTCATTCCACTGTGGCGACCCCAGATTAATAAAGGAACTAAGCTGAAGGATAAATGAATAATTTTATGATTTATTATATTTGACGGTGGTCAACAGCTACCAGCACTTTTAGAGTCAAATTAAAACAAGAATCGAACAAAACAACATCTATACTTATGGCCATTCAAAAGAATGGGAGCTATTGACTTTTGGCATTTGCATTCAACTACTTAAAATGTTTTACTGAAGAAAAAAATGTCACATACATACATCTTGGATAGTCTAAGGGTGGATAAATTAACATCAAATGTTCATTTTGGGGTGAGCTATTTTGCCAGTGGTGCTTTTATGTTCTTTTCTGAAGATTAAATGCCTCCATTCATTGTAACAACAGGGAAAAGTGCCACCAGTACAATTAAAAAGTCTGCTTTTTTGTGTTTCCCCAGAAGAAACCAAATCAATTGGGTTTGAAACTACATGAAAGTGACTAAATGATGATCCTTTGAACCTCAGTTAACTAAAGTAGCTGGATAAATAGGGGAGCTTTTGTAATTGTTGCCTTCAGTTAAAGTCTACTGTCTGTGCAAAACGAATGTGTTGTAACTGGCAGGCTGAGAACCTCCTCTTTGCTTCGTAGAGAGTCGAAATCTTTCCCATATGACCCATGTGACTGACTCTTTCCATCCGCGCTCACTAGAGGAGATGCGAAGTCTCTCTCGCTCACTCTGAGACTATCATGTTGCTCTGTGCACTACCTTCTTACTCTTTATTCCAATGAAAAAACACATCAGGTGAGTAGAAAACCAGCGGAAACTCTAGAGCAAATTGATTACTGTTGTTGTTTATAGACTTGTAGATTAGTAGCAGGGTTTTTAGTAGTATTGTTGTGTTCAAGGAAACATTTTGCCTTCCAAATGATTAAAAATTCCACTTTATTAAATTGAATGTTTTAAAACAACTCTTGATATAATGCATGTCTTGTGATTTCACCGTCTGACACAGCTGTAACTGCTGCAGTTTATAGTGTAAAAATATACGTTTTTATTTTTGCTCTATGATTATATTGTTTAAATTCTCTGTTTAAAATTCTATTCAGCAATGCCATGCAGAGAATCAAGTACATGTTTAGTACGTTTATCAGTGTTTGTGATATATTGCATGCAGAAAAGCGTTGGCTAAGACACTAGAACTACTTCTAGGACGCGCATAAAGAACAACAGGTCCACCTTGTGGCTAAAGTTGACAAATCAGCAGTACACACTGCCCGTAGAAAGTCTTTAACAGACTGCTTCACAGCTTAAAGTCACAGTTTTAGAATATATATGAGATAAATTATCAATGTACACTACTGGTCAAATGTTTGGGGTCAGTAGGATTTTTTAATGTTTTAAAATAAGCTTCTTCTGCTCAACAATGCTGCATTTATTTCATTAAAAATACAGTACAAATGATAAAATGTTATTGTAGTATGTATATATATATATATATATATATAATTTAATTTAATCATTTATTCCAGGGATCTCAATGATGAATTTTCAGCTTCATTACTCCAGTCTTCAGAGACACATGATCCTTCAGAAAGCACTCTTTATATAGTATATAATATATTTGGAGTTTTTTTTTTTGTTTGTTTTTCTGCTTAGTCCCTTTATTAATCAGGGCTCGCCACAGCGGAATGAACCGCCAACTTATCCAGCCTATGTTTTACACAACAGATGCCCTTTCAGCCACAACCCAACACTGGGTAACATCCAAACACTCTCATTCACACACATGCACTACGGACAATTTAGTTTATTCAATTCACCTATAGTGCATGTCTTTGGACTGTGGGTGGAAACTGGAGCACCCGGAGGAAACCCAAGCAAACAGGGAGAGAACATGCAAACTCCACATAGAAATGCCAACTAACCCAGTATTAATTTGAATATTATTAATGGTAAAAATAATAAAAGCAATAAAGACTGGAGTAATCATTTCATTTGAAAATACATACAATAAGTAATGAATAAATATTTAATAAATAAGTATTTAACAATTTAACTTTTTTTTACATTAAATAAATGCTGCCTTGATGAACAGAATAATTTCATTAAAAAAAAAACATGAAAAAACTTTTGACCGGTAGTGTATATTTGGACAATTTTATTAATATATTTATAATTTTAGCTTCATAAATGAATGTTATTAGTTATCATTATTAGAGTTCATTTTATTTTTATTTAACATAATAATTGTTATTAATATTGAGGTGTTTTATAGTGTGTTTTGAACTGCAAATTCAAAATTAACTAACTGAGTGAAAACTGTTTCAAAGTAAATCTTACATATTTTACTGTACTGCAGAAAATGTCAGAAAGGGGGAAAAAAGGATGTCATAAAAGTACTTTTATATAGTTTGTTTTAGGAAGTTGCCCGGTTGTAAAAGGGATTTCTTTCTTATTAGTTTAAGTTATTTTACTTAAGGCTTCAAGTGGAACATTAATATCAATAAACGTTCTTTCCTTCTCAGCCAATTCTCTAAACATCATACATTTGAATGACAATGAACTTAAATCTGGGCAAAGCAGTGGAGCAGTAGGTAGTGCTGTCGCCTCAGCAAGAAAATCACTGGGTCGCTGGTTCGATCCTCGGCTCAGTTGACGTTTCCGTGTGGAGTTTGCATGTTCTCCCTGCGATCGCGTAGGTTTCCTCCGGGTGCTCTGGTTTCCCCCACAGTCCAAAAACATGCGGTACAGGTGAATTGGGTAGGCTAAATTGTCTGTAGTGTATGAGTGTGTGTGTGAATGTGTGTGTGGATGTTTCCCAGAGATGGGTTGTGGCTGGAAGGGCATCCACTGTGTAAAAATATGCTGGATAAGTTGGCGGTTCATTCTGCTGTGGCGACTCCGGATTAATAAGGGGACCAAGCCGGGAAGAAAATGAATGAATGAACTCAGATTCACAGCAGAGGTGAAGATTACTTGTGAACTATTTTTGATTTGTTTTTCCTCGTGCAGATGTCATTAAGCTTCAGAATTTATATGGACTACTTTAATAGTGCCCATTTTGCCCTCATTGGAGTTTACACCCTATGATTAGAATGCTACATGTCCATATAAAAATCCTACATATAATGCTACATAGCTATATCCAAATTGTTATTAATATTTGAATATGCTCTACAACACAAGTAGTTGTTTTGGCTCAGTTCTTCCTCTTGTTGTCTTCAAGGTCTAGGTCTCGCTCTCGGTCAAGATCCCATTCCCCGCCCCACAACCGGGAGCGGAACCACACACGGGAGTATCAGAACCAACGAGAGTTTCGAGGTAACCACAGAGGATTCCGGAGGCCATATTACTTTCGGGGCAGAGGTCAGGGCTTTTTCCGTGGCCGCTTTCAACGTGGTGGAAGGGGAGGAGGATATAACAACTACCGTCCTAAAAACTGGCAGAACTTCCGGCAACACCCTCAGCAGCAGCAGCAGCAATACTACCACAACAGTCCCAAGAGGGGCCGCTCTCGCTCTCCTAAGAAACAGGCAAACAGTCCAAAATCCCGCAGCCATTCCCGGCGCTCTGACAGGTCATCTTCAGGGAGGTCACCACAGTCGCATCATTCATCCTCCTCCAACTCTGGATCTGCCAAACGTAATTGTAAAAATGTAAGAGAGGATGTTTTGGTTATCGAAGAAACACAAGGAGGAGGAGATAAGGCTCTGGTGGAGCAGGTCAAAGGTACTTCTGCAGCTGAGGGAAATGTTGATGTAGACCGGACTTTGGAGAACTGTCAGGTTTTGATGAACCATGACTCAAGTCCTAAAAGAACAAGTCCGCAGGTCTGCGTATCTGTCACTAATGACCAACCAATTGATTCTACATCCAGCAAGACCAGTCCTGCTCAAAAGAGTTCAAATTCTCCTAAAAAAGGTGCCACCGCCTGGCAGAATGTTGAAACTGCACCTTCAAACAGCAGCCCAGTAAAGAAAAGCACACCACCGGTTTTCAATGGTTTTGGGCTCTTTACAAATTTAGACCAAGAGTCAGATGATACACTTGCTCTCTCTGCTGCATTTATGAAGTAAGTCCATTTTCTTTACATTTAAAGAAAAAACATTGTCTTTTTATAGAGTTTTTAAATTCCAGTCAAAAGTCTCTAAGACTCACCAAAGTTACATTTGTTTAGTAAAAATACAATAAAACAGCAGTCACTTTTATAAAATAAAGGTTCCAAAATAGAGTTTTTGGAGTGCATTTTGGGTTCCTTAATTGACCTTTCAGTGTACAGTTGTTTAAAGATCCTTTTGTTTTTTTAGTGTGGCCTGTACAATTAACCAGGCAATTGTCATGCACATTTTGTCAGTAAACCTGGTTCTAGTAAATCTCAACACAGAGTCATAGTTTACTGAGAAGCTACACACTTACCTGTTCATAATCAAAGATGATTTATTTGCATGACAATTAAATCAAAGATAATCATTCAGATATGATAACTGTTTGCATAGCTTCAGTGAGCTATGGCTTTGTACAGTAAATGCTGCTACATCTGAAAGCATGTGAAAATACCACGTATAATAACTGAATATTTTTACTCCAGACTCACTTCATAATTACAGTCGAGTGCTTGAACTAAATCCTCAATGAACATGGTTAGTTCTACTGTTTATTGAGCAGGGTTTCTTGGATTTCGTCTTCGTGGCATATTTGGAGTTTCTGCGTAAGAGCGCCCTTCGGCATTTGGATGGAGATTTACCACTGATCACAGAACCATGCTTCCCTGACTAAATGTGCATGACAACCACAGCGTTTGTTAAACTGTTTAATTTCAGTGTAATCACCCAGGCCTATTATGAAGAACATTTTAATAATCTAAATGACCTTTTCCACAGTAAATCACAGTCCATCAGGAACACAAATATGCACAACAGGAAGAGAAAACACAAGAGGGCAGAGTAACGCAGACAAAACTCAAGCTCATAACAATGAATGTTAAAGGTTATTCATGGAACCATTAATGCCTATAAAGAACCTTTACTTTTAAGAGTGACATTGCGGTTTTCTATTTGAATAATTCTATTTATTCCTGTGATTGCAAATATGAATTTTCAGCTTTCTTCAGTCCTCAGTGTCACAGATTTTTTCAGAAAGTATTATAAAATGCTGGTTTAGACCTTAAGGCTACATTGGTGACCTGTATATTGAAAATCTTTATGCATTTGAAAATTGCTTTCTATTTTATTTTTCTTTTTTACCTTTATTTTAGTCAGTGTAAGAGTGGATGTAACACAATAAATCCTGTGCGTGCCAGACAAAAAGTAAGATTGCCCAGTTGGTTTCCCATCTGCCCTTCAAACACATCATCAGAGCTGTTGGAAATAAAAGAGCCAACACATGAAGAGCTAGATATGTGTTGTTTACAAATGTCAGCTCACAGTCTGTAATTTAGAAGTGCTATAAAGGTCTTAAGCGTACATATTTGAACTTTGCAAATGGATGAAGTGAAATACTCCCAGCTGCACACACACTTGTTTACCTATTTCAGAGTGGAAGCCATTCATTTGCACACGGTAACATGAACCAAATCCATTACAGTTTATATGCATAGTGTTGTCAATTTGATAAGAAGCTGCAGTCTTCCTAGCAGGCACAGGACGTCAACATGACACCCCAATGTCATAGGGACATTGCATTTTATTTGGAAATGAAAATCGGGTTGATGTCAGACCCCAATGTCAGGCCAACGTCAATGTCCAAAGTCAAACCTAAAATCAACCAAATATCAATGTCTAATTATGTTACAGCTTGATGTTGTGTGATTGTTACGATCGTCTATCAAACGTTGGATTTTGGTGGCCCTACCTGATGAATCAATGTCAGTATTTGACGTCAATATTACGTTGGTTTAAGATGTTGGCTCATCATTGGATTTTGATCACTTTCAACACAACCTAAAATCAAATATCAACGTTGTTATTGGACATCAAATTAACGTTCATCATACACGCTGGCTAGACATTGAAATTTGGTCACCTGACGTCACAACCTAAATCTAACCTAATATTAATGTGTTATGACGTTGTGTGCCTGCTGGGTTTGGTCACGTTAAAATGACAGACAATGCATCTGAGCCCATTACTGGGAATAATAATGGACTGCAAATCTCTTTTTCTCATTGACTAGATTCCTGGAGGAGCAAAAGGTTAAAAAACAGGCCTCTGCATTAGAAAACAACAGGCATAAAGGGAAAAGTAATGGAGATATAGTGTGTGATAAAGAAAATGGAGGAATATTTGATAAAGGCATTGAGTTGTCTCACGTTGTTGATCCTGACAACACAGCAGAGGGGAAATGCAAATCTGCCAAGAGTGGTGACAGTAACAAATTATCCAAAAGCGCACCTAAAAAGGCTCCTCGAAACAGCCCACCATTTCAATGCGAGGAAGGTGAGGATGATGAAGAAATGGAGTTTTCTGATATAGTGGAGGATATGGAAAATAGTCCCTGCAAAAGCAAAGTCACCATGTCTGCTCGTGAAATGTTCGAGAATCGCATCAGGAGGATGCAGGACATGACATGGGATGATGAGCTGGAAGCTCTGTTGCTCTGCCATAAACAGGAAAGAGCATCGAACATCCTAGCTGCGCTCTCTAAAAGAGACCAGCTCAGTGGCATGTTTAGGGATCCTTCCCCTGAAAAGCTTTCTAGTGTAAAACGAAAGGAGAAAACCACAGTAAGTTCCTCTTCTAAACCTACACTACCGCCCAGGAGGAGCTCTGAAAACCGTGAGCAGGAGATGTTTGTGGTTATGAACGAGGAATCCCCACCAAGAGCTTCATTGAAAAGAGGAAGCTGTGAATTCAGTGTGAGGATGGATTCTCTTAGTGATGACCTCGCCAGGTAAATCATTTTTCATTTTTCTTCAAGATCTTAGAGATGATTTTTTAACTACATGATATAAACTCTGAATATACAGTTGAAGTTAGAATTATTAGCCCCCCATTGATTTTTTTTTTCTTTTTTAAATCTTTCCCAAATGATGTTTTACAGATTCGGGAAATTTTCATAGCATGTCTGATAATATTTTTTCTTCTGGAGAAAGTCTTATTTGTTTTATTTTGGCTAGAATAAAAGCAGTTTTAAATCTTTAAAACACCATTTTGAGGTCAAAAATATTAGTCTCTTTAAGCAATTTTTTTTCAATAAGCCACTGTTATACAATAACTTGCCTAATTACCCTAACCTGCCTAGTTAATCTAATTAACCTAGTTACACCTTTAAATGTCACTTTAAGCTGTATAAAAGTGTCTTGAAAAATATCTAGTAAAATATTATTTACTGTCATCATGGCCAAGATAAACTAAATCAGTTATCAGAGATAAGTTATTAAATCTATTATGTTTAGAAATGTGTTGAAAAAAATCTTCTCTCCGTTAAACAGAAAGTGGAAAAATAAACAGGGGGGCTAATAATTCTGACTTCAACTGTACATATTTTATTTTTTTTTTTATTCCTAAACATTGATGTGTTTGTAGGACATCGGTTCTTACCAATGAAAGAAGGAATCTTATGGATTTTGTGCATATGGATAAAAAAGATTTGGAGTTTCAGTCTGTCCTTCGGCACCTTCAGGCTCAGCAGTTTCCCAGAAGCCCATCTGAGCTGTTTGCCCAACACATAGTTTCAATTGTTCATCACATTAAAGGTGACTGATACTTGTACACGTGAGGCTATGAGAGGGCTCCCAGCAAGCGTTTTTTGTTTTTATAACATCTCTAATCGATGTCTAATAGATGTCTAAACATAGTCGTCTTGGCTAAAAGAAGGCTGAATTTGCGCTGTCAGTGAAAATCTATTAGACGTCTAAGAATAGGCCAAAACAAACAGACATGAATGACTACACATATAAAGTCTGTCTAATCTGTCTATTTGATGACTAGTCTAGTTTTGGGCCATTCACAAATTTTTAAGGTTTAGCCTTGTTTTAGCCACGCTGTCTACGCTTAGATGTCTATTAGACATCTATTAAACACATTGCTGGGCTCTTACATTAGCCTTAGTGTTTGTATTGTTCAATTATAGGACCATAATTTGATTGTAGGACCAACATTTTTATGGAGTTATTGGAATTATGGAAGGACAAATGCTTAAAAACAACTTTTTAAACTAATAATTTTTGTTCGCTCACAGCTCAGTATTTTCCTTCCTCTGGACTGACCCTACATGACCGATTTGCCATGTACCAGAGAAGAGCTGCTGAGAAAGAATTCATGAAGCAGAGAAAGAGTCCAGAGATACACAGGTATACAAACGCAGGAAATTCTTTCTGTTGCTAAATTTTAACAAATGTAGATAGACATAAAGTATGTACCAAGTTCAAGTTCCTTTTTCTCCTCTTGTTTCATCACAGGAGAATTGATGTTTCTCCCAGTGCTTTTAAGAGGCACTCTCTTCTGTTTGATGAGGTGAAAAGCTCCATGGAAAACAGCTTCAAGGTGACCGAACATTTTGAAATATGACGTATTTTGGAACAGAATGCTGCACAAGTGATCCAGCCAGAGCATTCTTAGGCTTCCTTCTCTCTGTAAAACTCTTGTTTCTGATGAGAGAGGCATAAAGTCCAAAATGTGAGATGCAAAAAGAGGTGCATTCAGGTTGTTGTGTTGTAAATGCCCCCCTCAACATATGACGGTAACCTTTTACTATGGGTACAAGTTGAGGCAAGAGGTCAGAAATGGAAGTGACCAGTTGTTCCCATGTCAAATCCATTGAAAGGACTCTAAACAAAAGTCATAGTAAGTATTCCTCTTCAAAGCCTGCAAAGAACAAGTGAGGTGTTTAGGCCAAGTTAAAACCGCATACTTTCATGAGCACCAATGAAAGGATTTCTGCTGTGGTCCTGTAATCTTGCACTATTTTGTTTTGATCTGATTTTGGTGAGAAAATGAGAGGAAAACAACCCCTACCTTTGCAGACTGTTGCCATTTCTGAGTGATACTATTTAATAAGCCTGTTCAAATGCAAAAATGGCAGATATAAATGATGTTAGAGAAGGCCTCTTCCTCTCATCCATTTGCATGGTTGTTTTAAGTCCGCTGTTGTCATGTTTTGGTCCCAACCCATACAATGCTGCATGACGCTAATAGAACACACCGCTAACCCTCATCTGGCCAAAACATCTCTCTTTCTCCTCAACGCAGGTCGATGGTAAAAAATCTAAAGGAGAAACAATGGACCTTCGGCTGGATATTGAGCGCAGGAAGAAATACTTGATTGGAGAGAGGGAGCCCAGAGAGGAAGAATGCGGAGGAAGAGTTTTGAGGGAATCTCCAGATTCAAGCAAGGAAATACCCACAGAGAAATCCTCAAAAAAACACAAAAAATCAAAGTAAGCTGCTTGGGAAAATGTGCTACACAGACTGATCATGAATACAGAACTGTAGATGCTGAAGCATCGAGTCATTTTGCTGATTTTACACAACTAATACATTGACACCCAGCAGGCACACAACATCATATGATGTTGATCTTTAGTTCTGTTTTGGTTGTAATGTCAGGTGGCCAAAATGTAATGTCTAATAGCAATGTCAGCTGATATCTAATACTGATGTTATCTGATGTTGATATTTTGTTGGTTTTTGGCATTGACTAACCAAATTCCAACATAATTTTAATGTTGTTAAAAAAAGTTTATTTTTACTATTAGTAGATGTTTTATGCGTAATTACCTAACTAAAATTCAACATTACTTTAATGTCATAATATGACATCCATACAATGTCAAAAGCTAACATTATTAGCCGTTGATCTTTGATTGATTTTACGTTGTGTCATGAACTAACTAAAATCATCTTGACGTTGAGGTCTGACCTCAAACTTACATTGTGTTCTGATGTCCACCTGATTTACACAACCAAAATTCAAAGTTTGGGCAGTCAGTAAAAATCTTATAGATGTCTTAGAACAGGCCAAAACTAGACTAGTCATCAAATAAACAGAAATTAGGGCGTACTCACACTTTGTACAATTGCCTTGAACCAGGCCAAAGCACGCCTGTCCCCCTCCCTTCTCCCCTGACTGCCCGCACTCACATTACGTTGGGGCCTGGGCACGCTTCGTCATCGATGATGCGCTGTTCAGTAAGCGCTTTCGCTCAGCACAGTGGAGATTTCTCTAGTTATATTGTTTTAGGTGTTTGGGTTGCGGCTGGTGACACACAGTCAAATATTTCGCCGAACAGATCCGCCACTTTTGACGCTCAAAAACAGTCATAAAGTCCTCGTGCTAGGAATTAGGAGGCCAACTGAAGGTGCAGCTGTGGTGCAGTGAGAGGGTTTGCATCTTTAATAAACTACGACAGTTTCCGTTCATTGAACGGTAGGAATGATTAATAAATCCATATGAAACCTTAAAACATATGTCCCTTAAAAGTCAGGTCTTGCTTTCAGTTTCTGTCTTAGGTGAGTTTTGCACTCACACACAAGCAGAACCGCGCTCAGGCACACCTCTGCCAACCAGGCCAGGGCCGGCCAAGTGAACCGTGCCTGAGCCTGATTCAGCACAATCACACTTGGGCACGGTTCGGATAGCATAGTGTAAGTAGGCCCTTAATGACTACACATATAAAGTCAGTCTAATCTGTCTATTTGACGACTGGTCTAGTTTTGGACTATTCTTAGATGTCTATTAGATTTTCACTGACAGCCCAAGTTTAGCCTTGTTTTAGCCAAGCTGTCCACGTTTAGATGTCTATCAGACGTTTATGAAAAGTTGTTTGCTGGGTAGTCAGATGTTGGAGTCCAATGCCAATTTTACGTCTGTTTGGCGTTCAGTGCCTGCTGGGCAATTATTTATATGTTTGGGTTTGCCGTGACCTCACGTAAAAGAAATCCTCCCTTGTTTTTAAAAGCTCACTAAAATATAGTTAAAAGTTGAACTTATCAATATAAATAAATATTCTAAATATTTAAAGCATCAGACTGAGAAAGTTAAAGTTAATAATGTTTTATAGAGGTTAAACATGGAAAATTTGCCAAGAAATCTCAAATTTGGAGCCATTTAAAAGGCATTGAATAAGCATTTTTCCTGAAGGGCCTGAAGATGTGTTCACACTGACAGCAGTCTGCAGCAACAAGAGGTCAATCGTTTGAAGTTGGCCATAAATGTTGAGCAGAGATGAATTGTGTGTAGGTGAGCTGAAATACAATGCTGTGACCACCAATGGGTTGTGTAGTTGACATGATTGAACTTCTGATACAGTTGAATACTGCATTTAAATGCCTGCTACTAGTGCTGGACAGACTTGATCACCTTGGGCTATAGAGTCAGCATCAGTGTGAACACACCTTTTTGTTTTTTTTGGTCAAAAGGAACATGTTGAAAAATGTCCAGATTTCCTTCAGCTTCATGTAAAGATACTTTTATATTAGGCTGACAAGCAAATGACTTGAAATGATCATCTTCAAGAAAACATGTTGAAGGACGATGAAAGTTCTGCAGTTAATCACACCAAAAGTTGAGCTCCTGTGGATTTGTGAGATCAACAATGTCTGAATAAAGTGTCATTTTATTCTTAAGGAAAAGCAAGAAGAAACGTGAGCGTTCTCAGTCATCCTCCTCATCTTCGTCATCTTCCTCTGTTTACAATGAAGAAGAGGGTGAGATTAAGCCAGAAAGCTTCTCTAAAGTCCAGCTAGGGCTGAGAGAGTATGGAGAGGCTGTGGAAAGAGGCCGGCCACGAGGAGGCTTTGTAAGTGCTGGATGGTTTTGTGAAACTAAAATATTTGTTTGTTGCTTTGGTACTCATGGTTTCCATTTTCTGTTTCCCAGCAGCTGAAAATACGTGGTAGAAGTTGGAACCGAGGAAATTTCCATGGAAACAGTAATGGCAATTCACACATGAACATGTTGGCAAAGAATGAAGGCTGGGATCAAGAATACACTCCCAAGAGCAAGAAACACATCCTAGTATGTTATGACCTTTGTAAACACACATTTGGTAACTATGCTGTATATTAGGACTAATAACTATACTGGGACACATTTATTTGTATAAAATTTGATAAGCAGTTTTTATAATGCTTTTATGATTACAAATTTATACATGTGCAGAGTATGTACGTATATAAATAGGAATATGTAATATATTATGTATTTCTAAAAAATCCTGCATTATTGGGCAACAGCAGATCATTGCAGTGCCTTAAAACAGGGGCTCCCAAACTTTTCAGCTCGCAACCGCTAAATTAAAAATTCCAGTGACCCTCAGAGGTGGCTCTAAATATACAAACCAATAGGAACTATATAAATGAGCTTAATGACAACACAAAAAAGTGCAACAGTTAAAAAAATGTATAATGTATATATGTTCAGTCGCGGCCTTTATTATTAATGTACATGAGTGCCATAAAGGTGTCAAAGTTTAACATTGTGCTGTAAAATCAATCTGCTGCAGCTAACCATATTGTTGTGTCCTTAATCTAGCGTAATAACCCCAGGAGTCGCAATTCAGTGGAATAAAAATTGAAAGGCTGGTGGCTTTTTACTTGCATGTTGTTTTTATGTAACTATTAAATACTATTTTTATCATCTGCAGCATATGGATAAAATATGGTAATTCTAATAGTTTAATAACATATATAATATTTGCGGAAATCACCATGTAACCACCCCCCTGCCCCCTTTACTGTCTCGCAAGCACCACTTTGAGAATCACTGCCTTAAAATATAGGACAAGAGTTTAAAGGCCAGATTTACCAAGAGCGCAATTCAAAAACAGCACCAATGGGCATTTCTAGAATTACAGACAACAAGCAAATTAATGAACAGAGATGTAACATCTTATTTACATATCGACCAATGTAATAAGCCCAGTGCAATATTTGGAGGAGCTATAAAAGTAATTGCTATTCATAATGTCACAGTTAGCCAACTTCATCAAAAAAGTAGTTATTTAATTAAAGCAACTATATGGTATATTGAACAAAAGTATGTATTGTCACCTTAGAATTATAAGCTTCTATCTGACAAAATTGAGTTATTCACATATTCTTATTAACTGATGACTTATTTACATTATTTGATGACTTTTTTATAAGTTATTAACATTTTAAGACTTTTTATTTAATAACAAAAAAGGTTTTAATTTACAAGTCAAACTCTAGCAATCAGCATTTAAATGCACGCATGAGGACCAATCAGGGTCAGCTTTCTTTGTCATTTCGCTGGACTGCTCCATTGAAAGACCAGAAAGAAACACAAATTCAGAGTTGTAAGTGACAGCAAGAAAATAAAAAAAAGTTTTTTAGATCTGAAGTTGTAAGGTTCCAGACTTGTAAAGCACACATACAGTACAGTACACTCAGCTCGCACACCTATATTTATATACAGTAAGATACAGTTGAAGTCAGAATTATTAGCCCCCTTTTGATTTTTTTTTTTTTTTTTTATATTTCCCAAATGATGTTTAACAGTGCAAGGGAATTTTCACAGTGTGTCTAATAATGTTTTTTCGTCTGTAGAAAGTCTTATTTGTTTTATTTTGGCTAGAATAAAAGCAGAGTAGAATAATTCTGACTTCAACTGTATATATATGACTGTTGGACAACGTCTTGTGTTTTTGACAGTTCAGGCAGAAGGAGAACAAGAATCGTGCTGGAATTATGTGACTCAGTTGTTTGTTCTTACTCATCTTTTAAATAGGGTTAGGGTTAGTCATTAACTGAATTAAAAATAACATATTTGTCAAACAATATGTTTGGGTAATGTCTTCCTCTGGCATTCCAAATTAATTTGTGTGGAAGCAATCTTCTACCTTCTTCTAATCTGCTACTTCATAGCAACAACAACTGCAGCCATTTCAAACGCAACATTTAAGAGATGCTTTTATTAGGAGTTAAATAATGGCACAGATAACCATGATTTGAGGAGCACAACAATTAGTAAATCATGATTCATTTATAATAATTCCCTGTCTTAAAATTAGCATTTGTCTCCTACAAATGCATTTTCAGTAAAATCAGGCACAGGAATTGCTGAATTCATGGCTTTTTAGTGCTATTCTTCACTCACTGTGTAAATGCAGAAAGTACTGTTTAATTACAAAAAAAGGATGCACTGGCACAAGCTGCTGTAAATCTAGCCCCAAATGACTATTTGACAATACTTTAGCTAATCACTTTAGACGTATTATCATCTTATTTTAGGAACTTGTTATATTAGGAAGTCTGTTAATTCCGCTGTGGCGACCCCTGATAAATCAGGATAAGCCGAAGGAAAATGATTGAATGAATATGAAGTCTGAATTTTGTTTGTAAGCCCTTCTTCTGTCTTTACAGCACAGTGAAAAAGATTTAGAAGCTGAAAGGAAGGTGATGAACTCACGAGGCCGTGGTCGCGGCAACATTATTCGTACAAAGGGACGTTTCCTACTGCGAAGGGCCACAAACACCACCAATAATACAAGCCCTAAATGGGCTCATGATAAATTCCAGGCCACCGATGATGAGGGCGAACAACAGAGAGAGGATGGGGAATAGGACCAGTGAGAATGGAGCAGTGAAGAATAGAAAATTCTGACTTTAAGCCCTGGAATAAGACTTACTGGCCCTCACACCTTCAAGAATGGAATATGACATCTAGATTTTATGGATTGGAATGAAGCTGTTGTATTATACTGCTTTGATTTACTGTTTTCTGAAGAACTTTATGTGCTGACATTCTTTTACATGCAATTTCATACCCTTTCATAAAAGAATGAAGCGTTTGTAAAAAAAAATGTTTCTGCAAGCAAATCCGATTAATCATGACTGATATGGTAAAAGTGCCTGCTTCAACTTCACATTTACTAACCATCCATGTCTTTCTGGATGAACTGGCGCTTTAGTTTAGAATCAAGTGCCTGCATTGCAAATAAATTTTTATTTATTTTTTTGCACAAAAACATGCAAACGAAATAGACTGCCTGGCCAAAAAAAGAATTTATGTTTGGATTTAAATATGCAAATAACAAAGTGATTGGATCTTCATTGCAGTGATCGATGTGTTTCACTATAATCAAAGCTGAAGGCGATCAAACAAAACTTTTTTTTGGCTTGGTGGTGTTTATAATATTCATTTATATCAATAACATTCATACATTTTTAATATAATGTTCAGCTTTATCAATAGAAATAGAGATATGTAAATATAGGCCAGGTCAATTGATTGATTGGCTGATTTCTGGCCCTTTTAAATAAAAACCAAACTTGATTAACAGTGTGTATGAAGTGCTTATCGTCACACTTTCTCTGTTTCAAATTCTACTGATAGACTTGTCTATGAATAGCAAGATTTGTGTGTGTGTATTTGTGGTTAAATGTTATGTAACTCATTGTCTATCAGTGAATTATATATGGAAATGAAAAAAACATTTAAATCTACCACTAGTTCAAAGGTCAGGTGCCTTAGATGTGCTGAAAGTGTACCAGTATACGCTGGTTATTACCTGGTTTTTACCTTTAAAGGAAATTATTGCTGTTGAAAAAACCATAGATGTACATATTGTTTTGTGGACTTAAGTGAAATTCTTTGTGTGTGCTGATAAAAAAAGAAGATCATAACTTAATGTCTTGTATGAATGACCCAGTCTCACTGTGGGACCAAACTACAGACAATCATGTCCCAGTTGCTTACATGTGGGGAAAAAAAGATTTACATTATCAATCTGATACCAACTTTAAAACTGGACAACAGCCTACAGAAAGGTTTTTAAAAAGATCACACACTTACAACTGTTTAGCAAATTTTGTAATTCTTTGGGTCTGTGTGTTTGATGATATGTGTGTGCATATTATATTTTATTATGATTTTTCTAATGTGTGTCCTGTCATCAAAAGCCTTTTCTGTTGGCTTAGCACCTTGTTTAGAAGGAGTAATCAGGTAATTAGACTTGGGAATTTTTCATCTGAGTTAACGGGGTGAGTAATTCATACTCCGCTTTGGATTTAATTGACTGGGTTCTGATTCACACTGTATTTGATTATACACATTTTGACCTGCATTTATTTACTCGCAACCAGAAATCAGAATAAAAAAATGCAACGATTTTACATCCGAGTAATTTTTGTGCCAATAAGGATCAGGAAGTAGTAGGTTATTGTTACACGAACAACATCTATTTATTTATTTGTAAATGATCCCACTGTGAACTAATTCCGTTTGTCTCTTACTAAATACATTTGTTTGTGTAAACTGGTCTGACCGGCTCTAAATAAAAGCATTACAGTCTCAGCACAGCACAGTCATTTCAATGCAATCTGTTCTATGAATGTTGAGGCAGGCATATAGACTGAAATATATTGTCAAAACACCCATATTATAAAGATTAAGGTTGTATTCAAACTAGGGTTACACAATATTTGGAAAACCTGACATTGCTATATATTGTCTTTCTGCTATATGTATATATTGCATTATGAATACAAATACAAACAGATTACTTGAATAGCTCAATTTGGGAAGAATTTATAAAAAAAATTATATATATATATATATATATATATATATATATATATATATATGTATATATATATATATATATATAATACATGCATTATGGATTTCAAGGAAGTCTAACAGTATTCAGGTACAGAAATTTAATAATTCAACCTAAGACATTGGTGAACAGTAGGCCTATACACGTATACTTACCGGCCACTTTTTTTAGGTACACCTGTCCAACTGCTGGTTAATGCAAAATTCTAATCAACATGGCAGCAACTTAATGCATTTAGGCATGTAGACATGGTTGAGACGATCTGCTGCAGTTCAAAACAAGCATCAGATTGGAGATGAAAGGTGTTTTAAGTGACTTTGAACGTGGCATGATTGTTGGTGCCAGACGGGCTGGTCTGAGTATTTCAGAAACTGCTGATTTACTTGGATTTTCATGCACAACCATAGGGTTTAAAGAGAATGGTCCAAAAAAATAAAAAAATATCCAGTGAGCGGTAGTTCTGTGGGCGCAATTCGCACTGATGAGCTTCGATTTCTGCTGTGACATTCAGATGGTAGGGTCAGAATTTGGCATCAACACCATGAAAGCATCAATCCATCCTGCCTTGTACCAATGGTTCAGGCTGCTGGTGGTGATGTAATGGTGTAAGGAATATTTTCTTAGCACACTTTGGGCCCATTAGTACCAATGGAGTATCGTGTTATTGCCACAGACTACCTGCTGACCATGTTCATCCCTTTATGACCACAGAGTACCCATCTTCTCTGATAGCTACTTCCAGCAGGATAACGTGCCATGTCATAAAGCATGAATCATCTCAGACCGGTTTCTTGAACATGACAATGACACTGTACTCAGATGGCCTCCACAGTCACCAGACCTTAATCCAATAGAGCACCCCAATATGGATGTGCAGCCATCAAATCTGCAACTGCATAATGCTATGTAAATATGGACTAAAATTTGAGCAGTATTTCCAGTACCTTGTTGAATCTATACCACGAAGGATTAAGGCAGTTCTGAAGGCCAAAGGGGGTCCAACCCAGTATTAGTAAGGTGTACCTAATAAAGTGGCCGGTTAGTGTATCAGTGCATTGTCATCATATAAATGAACACAATTAACCATTGTTTAAGCTGCACACGTTGTCTTTTTCCCGAATTCTTGTGTTACGAGCAGGTGATCAATTATAGCTTGATTCCGACTGGACATCGATGCGATGTGGAGGACACTGATTATTTCTGAAACAATATTGCAGCCCTAATCCGAACATCAGCCTTAATTTCCTTGAGTTCCTTCCGAGTATGCACGTGACACCAGGAAGCTCATACCAACACAAACCTGTCTCACCTGTCGCGCTCTCGCTATCTATCCTTCAGAGTGTAAACGTGTCTTGACTAGCTGGGAGGTGTTTTTTTTTTCTTAACAAGGCTAATGTTTGACTAGAAAGAAGGAGGTCCGAGAAAGATTTCACTGTTTCTGGATTACCATTGAATCAAGCAGTGCAGTTCGCAGGGATTCATGCCACTTTAAGAAGCGAACAGAATCTACATCGTCTTATTGGTGGTCTGAGCACAGCTTTAAACAGGCCATGGGTGAGTTTTTGTCACTCTTCTTTCAAAATAATGTCTTGTTATGATGTTGAAGGCTGTGGTGTGTGTGGAATTTGGGTGACCAGTATTCAAGTATGTACAATTCACACTGTAATTAAGTAAATGTAGCAGTAAAATAAGTGAAAAAATGTTTACAGATGGTTTAGAATTCATATTTTGATATATTTCAGATTTTGAAATGTTTAATATAATTTGTCAGAGATAGAAGGGGTATTTCAAACATCAAAACATAATGGTGCAGTTTTACAAACAAGGCTTAGCTTGTCAGGACTAGAACTTAGTTAAATTACGTATTAAAGTCACTTTTATAAAAATACTGTAAAATACACATTATTGGTGTGAATTCTGGAGACAAAACAATGCCACTAAGGAATTTTAAGGTATCTAACTGCAGGTTATTTTTAGTTAAGACAGCTCAAACATCCAGTATAATCCAAGACTAGCCTTAAGCATTGTCTGTGCAACCAGAGGTAAATGTTTAAAACAACTTTAATAGTAGATTTTCTCCACACGTGACCTGGCTATTCAGATTTTGTGTGTAAGCAAAAAAATAAAAATAAAAAAATTAAATATATTTATAATTACTATGATACATTTTACCGTTTGTTGTGCGATATATTGTCACAAAATATTGTCATTTGCCACACATTTGAATATATAATGATTAAATACAGCATAATAATGCATATAACCATAAACACTTTAAAATACTTATCATTCTTAAGGTTGTAAAATTCTATAATTTGATGTTAAAAAGTGAATTTCCTATTATACTACTAATTAAATGTCCTATTAGTTTAAAAACTTTGACAGCGGTGAGTTAGAATGTAAATGTCTTTGTAAAATGGCTTTAAAGTCATTTGTGAATTTGTAAATATATATTGCAGCGGCAAAAATAATTGAGGTCTTTTCCAGGTATTTTGAACGATAAGTCGATATATTGATTATTGTGACAGGCCTATAGTTAATATACCAAAAAATCTTGTCAGGCTCATTTAGAACGAGTCATTTGATGGCAAATCTAAAGGCTCAATTTAAGGTTCACATCCGACCATGAGAAATTATTTAAAGCATAATCTAATTTGGAATGAACACTGCTTATTTTTCTATATACTTTAATACATACAGGTCTTTGAACTACATTAAATTTATACATAAATATATCTGTTAAGCTGAATTATTTATTATATTATCCCTTATAAAAGTAGATATTTATGATTTATGTTTTGGATATTAAATTTCATGCAAACACAAAAAATATGTAGCAGATACTCTGTATGTGTACTTATTTACATCTGTACTCTTCATGCATTTTATATGCATTACATAAAAGAAAAAACTACAACCCATAAATCTGAACGACATTCCTTCATCATCAAACCTCCATATTTGGTAAAGAAACTTAAGATTCCTGTCATCAACTGAGGAAACACCTACTGTATCTCATTTTGATTCTGCTTTCATTAGTTTACAAGACCATAAACTACTAGTCACTGAGATTTGACATTCAGATGGACAAACAAGAAGTTTCTTCCTGGAAATAAGATTTATGAAATACTCTTATGAATCATGCGCGGTGTTCTTTGTACTGATATGCATGCATTCTTGAGATCAAGCCACTCAATGTTTAGCTCACATACCTGTAGGCCTGTTCAAACACATTGCTCATGGCTGTCCAGCTCCGTATTGCGCTTGAAAGTCACATAAATCTCAGCACTTCTGTCTCTACTGCATGCCTATTCATGCGTTTTATATAATTGGATGCTTTTGTCTGTAGGGTGAGTATTTAGTTAAAAAGAAAAATAGACTTGTTAGTTATTATTGAAAAAGTAACATCATAGGCAGCTTAGATTATGCATCTTCAGGCATTTTAGGCAGTGATATTTGCATTGTGAAGTGGGTAGTATGCTAAAATATATTATTATAGAGATACAATCTACAAATGTAGGCTAAGCTTTCCTCCAAATCCAGATTATGTTTTTTAAATGTATCTGGTACGGTGTGATATAATTATATTAAATGATACAATGCAACTCTCACTGAAGCTTGTTTCAAAGATCAATCTATCAAACAGGGATCTGTTTTTGCGTGGCGTGTTCAGTCTCAAGGTTTAAATTAAATTTAAATATTTGACATAACTTAAATACCCAGGATTATTACTCACTCTGGCATTTTTTAATTGAGTAATGGGTTAATTAGTAATTTGTCATAGTAAATATCAATTTATTCACCTTTTACTCATCCTCAAATGATTCCAAATGTTTATGAGTTTCCTTTTTCCATTGAACAAAGAAGAGTCATTGACATCCATACTAGGAAAAACAAATAATCAATGGCGACCATTTACAACATTTGTTTTTTCTAACAACCTATTTGTGTGCGACAGAAGATACAGTGGAAATTAAAACCGGTTTGGAGCAAGTGAAGGGTGAGAAAATGCGAACATATTTTTCTGTTGTTGTTGAATGAACTATACATTTAGTATGAAGCTAATAATATGCCAAAACAATCTGAATTTGTATTGCGTTAAATTGAATGATTGGCAATTCTAATTTATTAAATAGATTTTTTTATATGCTGTAATTTTTTACTTATTTACTTTATTTATTACTTAATTTGAATTTCAAATCTTTAATAATGAACATCTGAAATTTTAGACAACTGAGTTTTTAAAGGCTGATTTTTTTTTACAGACGTGTTTTCAAACTTAAGATTTTTCAATTCTGAATTCATAGATTGCAGATATTAATTGGGCTGCACGATTAATCGAAAAAAGATCACAATCTCGATTTGACCCTACGCACGCTATTATTTCAGCTTTTCTACGATTCCGCCAATATTTTTTCAAGGTCAGGAGAGAAGAAAGGCGGCCGCACAAGTTGTCACAGCACAATGGACACCTTCAAATGGTGTTAATAGTGTCTCATATTGTAGTTACAAAATATAATTCATCCAAAAATGTCATTTGTCTTAATGTAATGATGTATTCGCGGCCGCAAAATCACATGTGAGCTGACCGTGAGCTGTTTGTTTACTATCGACAAGACGTGCGCATTCCCGCAGATGATGTCTACTTTAAACACAACCTGCAGAGGCTGTGAATAACATTTAATAAAGCTGTAAATCGCGTTCAGTTTTTTTGCACTGAGCGGTCGTTTGAGAGCTGCGCGGGAAGTATGATTTGCATGCGTGTATTTTTTTTCTCACGGTGATGGCCGCACTCGGAAGCGAAGTGAAACATGTGCACACATCCTTTAAATTACCATATTAGATTTTAAAGTTATGATTACGACAAGCATTTGATATGTTTTTTTTTTCCTTTCATAGCGAACACAAAGTGTTGTGCATGAAAATAAATGTTTAGTGTCCGTATAACTACTCTAGCCTATAATGTTGAATATAAGGAATCTAATTATGACAAAGTCTTATTTTACCAGTGAATAAACTGGTCCAATGTTTTCAATGATAAATGACAAGCAAATATCTCAAGCATAATAATTAAACTTTAGAATTATGAAAAATTGTATTCTGATGTCATCACTTTACTGTAAATTAACAACCAAGACCCATTTAAAGTCTGTTTAACCAACAGTAGACCTACACATAGGCCTAATATTATTATTATTGTTTTACCATATGTTTGAGAAATAACAATAATAATTGCCGACTCATATTAACCTTTATTTTACATCTACAGAATTGTGAGAAAATCGTGATCTTTATTTTAAGCAAAAAAAAAAAAAAACGTTTTTTTCTGTCTGTTCCAGAGGTGCTGGTGCTTCTAGGCTTTGAGGCCACGATGCCAGATGAGTTAACCGTGCATGTAGGGGATATAGTGAAGAACGTCTCCAAAGCCAAAGAGGAAGGATGGCTGGAGGGAGATCTGAGAGGAAAGAGAGGCATGTTCCCTGGCAACTTCGTCAAGGTCTGGACCTGTTAACGTACTCTTTCCATGGCCTTGTACAATGTCTTTTTCTTGTGTTTGTATTTTTTTTTCTCTCAAAACGACACTACTTTTTTCCTCAGGAAGTGCCTGTTTACTTAATAGGGGACAGCAACAGAGAGCCAAGAAGCATTAGGAAAAGTAAGTCTCCAATATTATGAGTAAATAACTAAACACTATGGTGTTGTTCTGTTTGTAAACAAATCAATTAATATTCCTTTACCTAGATGAATAATTTTGTGAAGCTGCCCCATTTGAAGGGTTGTTGCTTGATCAGATATAGCTGTGGTCGGTAGTTAACAAAAATAATTTCTATTATTTATTAAATTTCCCATTAATTATATATTTTTAATGTCAACCATTATTTCCAACCCTAAATCCTATCGTCAGAGTAACATAAAACCAGTAGTTGTTCAAAGTATTATTTAAGTTATCTATTAAATTACCCCATGAATAGTATTTTTTTTTACCCCTACCCAAACCCTAAACCCAACCGTCAGAGTATTGTAAACTTATTAATGACTGTTATACAGTGTCATAAAAAATGATGCTGTATTGATGTACATATCGCACTTACGGCCGGTTGTGTATTCTATCTAGCCTTTATCAAAGTCCCTTTAAGTATTCTAAAGTCTTTTACTTGACCCATTTAAAGCAAGTGTATTTTCCCTTCTTTTTAACTGACTATAGCGTAAGCCAATGATATTTGAGTGCAAGTGGTTCAGATGCAATATGATTGGCTTAACTGAATGAACGTACATGGCTCTTATAAAAACCTGGCTTTAGCAGATTAATGTAACCAGTGTTGTCAACTTAGCGACTTTTCAGACCCCCTTAGCGACAAAAAAAACAAAAAAAAAACGGCTAGTGACAAATCTAGCGACCTTTTTGTTGGTGTTACTCGCATCAGTGTGCTCGCTGCCCAATCCTCGTAAATACAAACATAAAGTGTAGTACAAATATAAATACCCATTTATTAACCATATTCTATTAAACTAACAGAAACGATTGAACGTGATGTCAGTAATATGCAAATTGACGTATGATGTAATCTAGCGACATTTATTGACTTTTCGGGCGGAGCTTAGCGCCTTAGCTCCTGCAAATAGTTGACAACAGTAAAAGTAACATCTTCTGTTCATTCAGTCATTATTAATGATTTGCTCAAACACAATGCCACTCTTGTCACAACTACCTGGCATAAAAAGGTGAGAATTAAGACAATACTCTGATTAAGTGTCCTAATTTTACCTACCTAATTTTTTATTAATTTAATCCAATTAAGGTCATAATCGAACTAAACAGAAATGCGATTAAGACATGTGGAGTATGCTGATTTTTAGTGGCATTACTGAAGTGAAGTACAGACATGTGTACACATTGCAATCAAACTATACACACACGGCTGTTTGACACTATTCTCTGCACATACCGAGTCAGTGGAGGACCACAGACACCTTCATAGCGAAATGCTGAGGGTTTTTTTCCCCATACAGATTGTGGCATCCAATTCCATTAAAACAACACTCATCCAGCAGTTCATACTCTCATCCAATATCACCTTTGTCACAGGGGCATGCATGAAATGTTCCTGAATGAAAGTGAAAGTGCCAAACTGCAGCTTAAGTTGACAAATAAAAAAAAACAACCAAAATTATGTGAAACTCCAGAGGAAATGTGGATTGTATGGAGACGCAATGATGTTAATCGAATTATGTGCTGTAACATGTAAAACGGAATCATGAAAGCAACATTCAAAAACCAACACATGTAAATGGCTTAATCATATTATTATCTTATTTAGATTAGGGCAAGTCATTCGATTACTGATGTCTATGTAAACATAGACAGTGAGAATAGACATGTTCCTGCTTAAACATTCTGATTTCATGGTTGGTCAATGTTTTCAGTAGATTTTTAAAAACATTTACCAAATCAGTCTTGCTCCACAGATAGATTTCTGAAACTCTGAAAAGTTTAAATCCTCATCAGCTTGCTAGCTTGACTAAAATAAGTAAACTAATGAAGGGTTTGTGCCTCCACATCCGGTCTTTAATTATACCCACTAAAAATCCATAGGCAACGACCGAACTGTATCCGCTTATAAAACGCTGCCTGTCATAAAACTGAACTGTAAAAGTAAAAGGTGGAAGTGCCTTTGCAGTTTAAGTTAGTTCAGTTCAGTTTGCTGTCACTGCATCTAAACGTGCTGACATGCTCCATATGTTTTCCACTTACTTCATTGCTCCAGCAAAGAAAACGACGGTCCAGACGAGGAAATGCGAGGTGGTTTTTCCCTACGTCCCCACACACGAGGACGAGCTGCAGCTGCTGGTCGGAGAGACCATCGAGATTCTCAGAGAGGTAGAAAATACTGTTTTATTACCACAAAATCTGTGATACTTGATGCAGTGCTGTTTTTTGCTAGCTATTTATGCTTTCTTTGCGCAGAAGTGGTTGTCTGTCATCATCCTTGTGAAAGTTACTCCTAAAATGTTTCATACTTTTGTAATATTCTTCGATTGACAGAATGTTTCATTTGCTAAAAATAATAAGTTTGTGAAGTATAATGTACACATGGTTAGTCAATATCAATAAATAAATAAATACAAAATATTCATACAATAGCACTACATTATTCAAAACGCATTGGGCCAAATTCCTTTATCAAAGACGAGACCTTTTATCAATGTTTTCATTTTAAATAAGTGACAAGAGTAGTGGGATGTATAGGAAAACAATAAATATAAATTTATATATATATAATAAATTATATTAAATTAATTTGTCAACCTGAGTTTTAAGACATTTTAAGACTAGATTTGGTCAATGGATGTCGTTTACCAGATGTCGTATTAGAATAACCCAGGCTTTGTTGCTTAAAGATGAAGACTCCACTCAATTTACTGCACAATTCCCCTTACTGTAAAACACTTTTTACTGACTTGTTATGCTTTCAATGATTCCAGATGGCTTTTTTAACTCTCTCTTAAGGGCATTTTTAACAAAGTGACACCAAGAAAAGTTGTTGAAATTTTATCATGTATTAACATTATATATCTTATTTAATTAATGTATTAATTTGTTTGTTGATTTTTAATTCTATATTTATTATTAAAATGTTCTTGCCATGAAAGCCTTGGTTGTTGACCTGGCATTAAATAAAAAATACATTACATAACATTACTGTCAGAATGCATTGACTCTTCCTATTTTTTACACTTTTTTACTCCCTTTTTTTTTTTTTTTTTTTTTTTTTTTTTTTTTACTCTTTTATAAAATGTGTGTCATATCCAGGGCTTAATTTGTGCCGGAACCTCTGAAATCTGATCCGACACCTCATTTTACCGATTTCCCCCTGCTCCACTGCCTACCTCTCCTGTCCGCTGTTCACTTTCACTTTCTTCCGCGACTCCCCAACCCTCTTCAAAGTATATTAATGGCCACCCTAATATATTTGGTGACATTTTTTTTCACTGCAAAGAATGGGGTAAGCAAAATAATCTTATCACAAATTGAAAAGCAAGATTATTTTGCTTACCACATTTGCTAAATATTTTGCTTTTTTTAAGGAAAAACTCAATTAATTTTGGCTTATTATATCTTAAAACAAGATGGTATGTTTTGCTTGTCTAGAAAATTCTTCTTGATTTAAGTGTTTTTAGATATTTGGACTAGAAACAAGACAAAAACTCTAAGCAAGTAAAAGTGTTTTTTGCAGTGTTGTTATTATCGTCCTTTTACACTTTTTGTTTTTTGTATCCGCCCAATAGCCAAACATCCACAATAGATAAACTAGTAGAAAATCTCCTCTCACTCTACACGTTTCCTACTTCTCATTGTGTGTGCGAGAACTGTCAACACTCCCACAGACAATCTCAAGTGCGGAGACATACAGAGACGTGCCTTTTTGGGACTCAAAAATACATCCATCTGGGATTTCCAAATCTCCTAAAGCCTAGTTCTCACTACAGGATTTTAGGCCTGATTTGAGCCCGCTTTGGAAGTTACAGTAACAAGCTCTCCAACAGATCGGGCTGTGACTGGGAAAAATTCTGTGGGTGCTCGACAGTCTTTATGGGTGAACTACTAAACAACAAATCAAAGAGGCTTGCTGAAGCGCTACCGACACCTCGCAGACGAAAATCCAATATCTAGCATGCTGAATATTCCAGAGCAGTTGGCTGACTTGACCCCATGTGCAATCAGATGTAGTGATGAGCTGAAGCCAATAAGAGGGTTAGGTAATAAGCGGTCTTGCTTTCTCGTGTAACGACATCAACAGCTGCCAAATTTCAGTTTCAATAATAGAATAGAATAAAAGTAAAACAAATAGCAGATTTTTTTTTTCAACAGCCGTAAAAAAAATAAAATAAAATAAACGATTCAACCCACTGAAAAGAAACAGTGTATAATAAATAAAAATATTGGCAAAAAATGTTGTTGCATGTAATTAACCATGTGCCATGGGTAAAATGTGTGTTTCAATCTGGCTACCACTGTACTTATATTTTAAACCTGTGGGAAGCACTGATATAAAATAGTTATTTCAGATATGTTGTGGTCCATTTTCTGATTTTGGGGACATATTAAAGAATAAGCAGAACAATAATAAAAAAGTGATCTAAACATCACATTATAGCAATTCTTTCATTTATTATTTATTTCTTATTTTTTTATTTCTCTAATAAGTAAAATAATATATTGTACCCATCAATAAATACTTTATGTAAGTGTTTTTACTGCTGGGAAATGTTTGTTTGCAAAGCAGATGCTGTCTTTACTTTTGAGTCAGATATTGAATGAATTGAATTTTTTTTATTTGTTTTGTCTTGCAGATTGAAGATGGGTGGTGGATGGGAAAGAAAAATAACCAAATAGGAGCCTTTCCATCCAATTTTGTAAAGGAAATTTTTGTCCCTTCAAAAGGTGAGATTTTTATTTCCTTGACATATTGCAGTTTGCTGGCTTTTTCATGTGTACAGGTTTGTAAGTTCAGAACTGTGATCAGTTCACAGTGTCATATACACCTTTGCGGGCAGCGTCTTCCAGTAGGATGCTTAAAACTTCCATTTACAGCATTTACAACTGGTAAATCTTGATCCAAAAATGGTTGTCATTACCGTCTTTAGTGGCTTACGGAGTGTTCCACAACTTTGATTTTAAAAGATGTGTGTTAAAGTCTTAATGCTTCTGTCAGATGTGGTTCAAGCACGAGCGAAAAACTTACTCCTAATTTAGCTTCTGCCATCAGATCAGATGCTGAAATACAGCGTCAGTGTTCCCGACCTGTCAGCTGTTATACTGTACTCAGAAGCTCTTCAATGCACACACACATAAAATAGATCACTGCATTAAAGAGAAAACCATATTACTGGCATGAAACTTAACAGGTGTCTAACATTAAGCCATGCAATTTCTAAAAAATAAAAGTATATTACTGATACTCTGCTGGTTGATGTGCATGTTGATTCTAATCGTGAGCTGTTTATATTTAATTTAGTCAGTTTGTATTGTGTAGTATTTACCATGTGTTTTTCTGTCATTTCAAAATGCCACTTTATTTTCACTTTTCTGCCAGTCTTTTAAATAATGCATGTGTGTGTGTCAAACATTTTGGTGAATTGCATTTGTTTGGGTTGGTTCTATGTTTTTATTAAAAAAAAAAGTTAGCTTCTGCGATGACGAGGCTACATTTAAACAGCTAAAGATGCCGTCTGATAGTAATGGTAAATGACTTGCATATGTTGTTTTTTATTCCTATTAGATCGCATTGTTTAAAAGATCAGTCCAGGAGGTGGCGCTGTAGTGGAGCAGTAATAGTTTAAATATGTTAAAAGCAAGTAAAATACATTAAAACTATGATTTCAAAGCTGTCCGAATGTGGCTCTTTATACGCATCAGCTGCCGACTGGAAGTTCGAAGCATCCTCCTTCCGTATACAAGTCAAGCATAGTGGCTAATTTTGCGTTCTAAGAGAAAGTTCTATATCATAACATCTGATTTACTCCACAGTTTTTTTGAAATTCTTAACCGTAAATTGACGGTTCGTTCCGCTGTGGTGACCCCTGATTAATAAAGGAACTAAAGGAACAAAAAAAGAAAATGAATAAATAAAGCAGTAAATCTGAGCTTCATTCAAACGCTGATATTCATACTGAGTGAACTTACTGAGTGGCGAATTCGTAGTTGAATCTTGAATGTTATATACTGGTGAAGTCTTTTGTGGGCTGTTCTGTGGACAGATTCACACAATGCACTCTTTTCTCATTTACTCGTTTACTTCTAATAGAGTTTACCTAGAACAAAGATTAGATGGTGAAGATGTCTTGTACCTGCAGGAAGCAATTTAATGGTTGAGTAATCACAAACAAATGTAAAACCAGAAGTTTTGAATATTGTAATGCCCTGCAATGGGGAAAAACAAAAAATGTTTGGAATTTCCACAGTGAAAATATGGATAACAATACTATTTAATAAGGTCTGGTAATAGAAAAAGAAGAATAAATAAAAATGTGTCCATTTCAAACATTATGAAGAGCATTGAGTGTTTGCTACTCTTACTGATCCCTGGATTAATGTTTTGCAGATGATGCCAAAGCCAGACCTAAGCTCTCTGGATCGGTCTTCGGTAAAGAGGTATGTTATGTTACGTTATATGTTTTATGTTATATGTTATATGTTATGTTATATGTTGTGTTATGTTGTATGTTATATGATATGTCATGTTATGTTATATGTTGTTATGTTGTTAGGTTGTATGTTATATGTTATGTCTTTTTTTTTTCCCAAACAGGGAAAGCTACAACAGAGACCAAGTTTACGGAAAAAAACGTCAAACGGTGAGAAGTCACTCTGCACAGATGATGTTGGCTAAACAATTAAATGTTGTTTAGCTGGTTTTTGTGGTTGTTCTCTTCAACTTCAAGACAATCAAACAACATTCTAGTTCTAAACAGTACTATAGTAGTTTAATGCATGAGAAGACCTACTGTAATCTACCTATTCATTCAAGAAAAAGACAATGTGCTTTCAGATTCTTCCACCCAACCTGGCTGGGCAGATCCATTACACACACTGAATTAATTGATGCTATACTTTTTGTTAAGTGTGTTGAATACATTTGATTCCTCCACAGTGAAAGAATGCTGTCAGGTCATGTTCGACTACGCTGCTGTTGCCGAAGACGAGTTGAACCTGAAGAAGGGAGACGTCATAACAGTTATCAACAAGGTGTGTCATCAGTGACGTGCTGACTGCTTTCTGTTTATAAGGCACACAGTACATTATAAACAGAAAAAACAAAGATGATTCATCAGATCTGAGTAAGGTGCTCTCAGCTGGTTGTGACTGCAAAATAATGAAATATGATCATAATTTTAGCACAAAACAATCTGTCTGTTGCCAATGAGTACACGACAGTGGATTATCATTATCTTTACTGACCAAGAATTAAATAAATTCTCTTAAATTGTTGAATTTACAATACTTTTAAAATAAAGTTTTAATTTTAAATTCATCTAAATTGTTTATTTCCTTGGTAACTTGCAAAAGTAAAATAATGAATTAAAATAATTACGTTTTATAAAAGTTAGAAAGTTCCTTAAAGTTAGAAAGGTGTTATAAAATGCATTGATTTATTATGTTTGAACTGTTTTCTGATATCTACATAGTACATGTGATTTAGTTAAGTACAAAAAACCTTTAGAATCATTTTATCCATTTATTTAGACCATATGAAAAGTTGGAGGTATCTCTAGAGAAGTCTTATTTTACCTTATTTGGAAGGGTTGTGAATATTAATAAACTCTGTAATGAAGTTAATAGTGTGAGTTGTTACTTAAAGCGTTACCCTGAATTTGTATATACTTTTTGTTGTCTCAAGTGCCATAAATTAAAGTATAAATTTTGCAAGTTAACGCCTGTTAAGCATTCATAGGATATGAATCCAGCATTCATAATTGGCAAATTATTATAATAGCTCTTTAGTTATCGTTTGTAATGTATGATAAATCATCACTGACTGATCTCAAACTTCTACAAATTTGATTAGACATCATACACATTCCTAAAAATCTTATTAACTTAAAAACATGAAAACAACATCATATAAAGTTCCATAAGTTAGAAGGGCTTTATGTATTGCTTTGATTTATGTTTAAACTGTTCTCTCAAATCTACATAGTATATGAGACTTAGTTAAGTACAAAAAAACTCTAGAATCATTTTATAAGCCGATTAGAACGTTGGAGTTAGCCCTAGAAAAGTCTTATTTTACCTTATTTGGAAGGGTTGTAAATCTTAATGAGCTCTGTTTTGAGCCAGTAGTTAATAGTGTGAGTTGTTAATTAAACTAAAGTGTTAACCCAAATTTGTATATACTGTGTTGTGTGTCAAATATATAGTTTGCTAGTTAATGTCTTTTAAGCATTTATAGGATATAAATTCAAAATTCATAATGGTCAAATTAATGTAAAAGCTCTTTAGTTATGGTTTGTAATGAATGATAAATCATCACTGACTAATCTCAAACACTTACAAATTTGATTAGAAATCATACACATTCCTAAAAATATTATTAACTTAAAGACATGGAAACAACATCATGAAAGTTCCATAAAATAGTTAAGAAAGTTGTTATATAATGCATTGATTGATTATGTTTAAACTGTACATAGTATGTGACTTGGGTAAGTACAAAACTTTTAGTTTTTCTTCTCTCTGCAGTCCACTGAGGATGATGGCTGGTGGGAGGGGGAAGTGAACGGACGCAGGGGCTTTTTTCCTGATAACTTCGTCATGCTGATCCCAGCGGAGACTCTTCAAGTGAGTGTGGGACAGAGAAATGTTCCCATGATTAGCCCATTTTTGTGCTCTTAGAGAATGGGAGTCTCCCTTTTGTCAACATTGCTTTTTTAGTAAAACACACTGGCTCAGAAAGCAATTATAGGCCAAGGAAATTCATGCTAGTTTACAAATAGTTTTAAGATGGAGCAGACTGCAGGTCTTAAATCTGTTTTTAACGCCTTGGTCCAATCTGTGAGGATAAAACACAGTTAACTTTAATATATGACAGTTTTTTTCTTCCTGTTACTTGTGCTTATTAAAAGAAATTGACTCAGAGGTTTCCTTTAGAGGAGAGGAACACTAAAAACGGTCACTTGATTCCTCCTGCATGGAAAGACTGCGAGCTTTATCTTTCTCAGAAGGACTAATCTGTATTTTGTTGACCATTTTTGTGAATCAGACTGGGAATGCGGGCCAAGCACCGGTGAGAAGTGGCTCAAAGAAAGATTCAGGTAAGACATACTGTACCTGTCATAGCGGCAGGGCCAGTTAGACTAGTTTGTTTCTTGTGCTGATACCAAACATAACTGGTAATGCTGCTACAAAAATAGCATTTTAAGGTTTAAGGGGGTGTGGAAGGTGCTTTTATAAGGTGTAAGACGTGGCATGTGTCATTTTTGAAGAACTTGTTACTGTCAGTTTTAAAAGATTGAATCCAGCATTGAGTGTCTCATAATTTTTTTGACATTTAATTTGATCTTTTATTGTATGTGAAAATCTTCTTTATATTATCAGTAATTTACAATGGTAAATGTTACGCTTGAGAACCCAATCTGATCATATAAAATCTGAATTTGGTCACGCTTTATTTTAATGTAGAATTCACACTATTAACTATTACTAAGACTATTAGCTTAATAAACTACTAACTAACTGACTGTTAATAGTTAGTAAAGTTGTTGTTGGGTTTAGATATTGTGTAGGATTAAGGATGTAGAATAAGATCATAATTTTATAAGTGCTAATAAACAGTTAAGGTCTTATTAATGGTCAGGTAATCAGTCAGTAGTTAATAGTGTGAGTTGTTACTTAAACTAAAGTGTTACCCTTAATTTGTTGATAATTTTTGTTGTGCCATAAATGTAGTATATATTTTGCTAGTTAATGCCTGTTAAGCATTCAACGGATATAAATTCACCATTCATAATTGGCTAATTAATATAATAGTTTTTTTTTGTTGTGGATTGTAATGAATGATCAATCATCACTGACTAATCTTAAACAGTTAAACATTTGATTATAAATCATACACATTCATAACAGTACTATTAACTTGTAGACTGAAAACAACATCCAAAGATAAAGAAAAGTGAACAACAATAGAGGAAGTCCAGTTTTTACACTTTTACACTGATATTTTGTTACTTTAGATTAATGTTCTTGTTATCCAATCTCCAAACTGCTTCTACTCTGTGTATAATAATAATAATAATCCTCATTATCATATTTCTCGACTTTTATGAACAGCCCTTATTGTAATTGCAGTACAAATGCTTACAGGACACTTTATTAGGTACACCTGTTCTACTGCTCATTAATTTAAATTTCTAATCACCCAATCACATGGCAGCAACTCAAAGCATTTAGACATGTAGACACGGTTAAGACGATCTGCTGCAGTTCAAACCGAGCATTAGAATGTGGAAGAAAGGTGATTTAAGTGACTTTGAACGTGGCATGATTGTTGTTGCCACACGGGCTGGTCTGAATATTTCAGAAACTGCTGATCTACTGGGTTTTTTATGCACAACCATCTCTAGGGTTTACAGAGAGTGATCCTAAAAGAGAAAATATCCAGTGAGCGGCAGTTTTGTGAGTGCAAATGCATTGTTGATGTTAGAGGAGAATGGCCAGACTGGTTCAAGCTAAAAGATAGGCAACAGTAACTCAAATAACCACTCGTTACAACCAAGGTATACAGAAGGGCATCTCTGAACACACAACAAGTCAAACCTTGAAGCAGATGGGCTACAGCAGCAGAAGACCACTCTGGGTGCCATTCCTGCCAGCTAAGAACAGGAAACTGAGGCTACAATTCACACAGGCTCACCAAAATTGGACAATAGAAGATTGGAAAAAGTTGCCTGAGTCTCGATTTCTGCCTCAACATTCAGATGGTAGGGTCAGAATTTGGCGTCAGCAACATGAAAGCATGAATCCATTCTGCCTTGTTTCAATGGTTCAGGCTGGTGGTGGTGATATGATGTTGTGGGAAATATTTTCTTGGCACACTGTAGGCCTATTAGTACCAATTGAGCATTATGTCAATACCACAGCCTACCGGAGTATTGTTGCTGACCATGTCCATCCCTTTATGACCACAGTGTGCCCATCTTTTGATGGCTACTTCCAGCAGGATAACGCACCATCTCATAAAGCACAAGTCATCTCAGACTTGTTTCTTGGACATGACAATGAGTTTCCTGTAGTCAGATGGCCTCCACAGTAACCAGATCTCAATCTAATAGTGCACCTTTGGGATGTGGTGGAATGGGAGATTCGAATCATGGATGTGCAGCCGACAAATCTTCATCAACTGCGTGATGCTATCATGTCAATATGGAGCAAATATAAAGGTATATTTCTAGTACTTTGTTGAATCCATGCCACAAAGGATGAAGGCAGATCTGAAGGCAAAAGGGGGTCCAACTTAGTACTGGTAAGATGTACCTAATAAAGTGGCCGGTGAGTGTATATGTATACATTCATTCATTCATTCATTTTCTTGTCGGCTCAGTCCCTTTATAAATCTGGGGTCGCCACAGCGGAATGAACCGCCAACTTATCCAGCTTGTTTTTTTACGCAGTGGATGCCCTTCCAGCCGCAACCCATCTCTGGGAACATCCACACACACATTTACACACACACTCATACACTACGGACAATTTAGCCTACCCAATTCACCTGTACCCGGAGGAGAACATGCAAACTCCACACAAAAACGCCAACTGAGCCAAGGCTCGAACCAGCGACCTTCTTGCTGTGAGGCGACAGCACTACCTACTGCGCCACTGCTTCGCCCTGTATATGTATATAACTTTCTTGAATTCAGCTTGACTTTTCTGAAGCTTTATAGGCTTATGTTTAGTATGGTACACACACAAAAAACGAAACTACAAACCATAAAATGTAGATTCTGCACCTGTTATTGACAGATCTCATTTGTAGGACAGGAAGTCAGTGTTTTTCCCGCATGTCATGTTTTGTTTCTCAGTGAACTATTAAACTCTGCCTTTTCCCCTTAGGTGAATTGTGTGTGCTTTGCTGCAGAGTTATCACTGACAGTACTAAGATGATGTTATAATCCTAGAAATGTAGTGTTTTTGTCAAAGTTTTAAATCTGACTTCACACACGTAACATTCATTACCGCAAACCACTCTGAGAAACACACTTATGCAGCTGTGTGGGGTTGTGAGAGGAAGTCGTAGGCCATGAGGAGATCATGTGAGCAAGAGTCTAGAGGAAGACGAGGCCAGCAACCTATGAGCTCTCTTTATATACGCCTTCATTTCTTTATGAATTCAGGCTTGTGATGTTGGAAAACTAACAAAGCTCACAGGGTACAGTATGTGTTTATTCCTCAGTGTTTGCATTCTGTGTTTAGCGTTCTTAAATGTCTTAGCGTTTAGCGTTGTCTTAAATCTTTATGCTGTAAGAAAAGTCACAGGGTTTTTAGAAGACTTGCTTTTAAAAGAAAATACAATTGTCATGGTGTGGAAAAGAAGTTCTATATTAAAGAAGATGTTTATGCAGAATAATGGCATGTGATGCTTATGGTTTAGACAAAATCTGTGCGTGCATTTGAATTTTTATTATACATAGTTTTTGCCTGCGAAAGAGTAATTCTGGATGAGAACAGAGATTTTGTCTTTTTTTTTTTCAAGGATGTGGTTTAATGACTCACTGCTCTAAACCATTCTGGTTTATTAAGGGAACCCATGAGGATTTGTGTTTGTGTGTGTGTATGTGTGTTTTGGTTTTGGTAGGCAGACATTTTTGTAAGGACATGACCTACAAGAGTACAGTATGTATAGGGGTATTACTTAATTATAACAACATTGAGGTGGTCTATGAGGACATGCCTTGTGTTCTTGTAGTTCAAAACACTTACAAATCATAAAAAAGCATTTGTCATAGGCTTCTTGTGAGGGTTGGTTTTAGGGGTAGAGGTAGGGAAAGGGAAAGTATAGTGAACCATTTAACCCATCCAAGTCCACACACTCATAGCAGTGAACACACAGCCAGAGCAGTTCTTTTGCTCATGTGTCAAGGAAAGTTGATGTTCCCATGCCACTGAGACCTCCATGTTCTCCCAACATTGATGTGAAAGTGTTTCAAAGCATTTTGTGTTTTTAAAAAGAAAACCATGAAAGAGTATTCATCAGTCACGACAGAGTTTGTTCTGTGATGTTTGGAGAAGGAATAGCAGTTCTGGCAGCTAGATGTCCACATGCGTGTGGCATGCTATTAAAAGTGCTTTATTGAAACCTACCCAATGCACAAAGCCTTGTTCAAGATGATCATTTAAAGGTGCTATATGTAAGTTTTTGACTCTTCTAAAGCATAAAAAATACCGTAATATTTTTGCAGAAATTTAAGAAACATGCTAAGTGGACATTCTTGTTTATCTGAAAAACAGTGCTAAAGTCAGTTATTCTGCTTTAAAAATGTCCGTTACCTGCCAGAATGCTGTTTTTGTTTTGTTTTCTTTAAAGTCACCCAATGCCACTTTAGCCAATTATATTGCAGCACCTCCCATTACCTTGTTGGAAAACTGCATATTTCATTCATTCATTCAGAAAGGCTCTCTCTTGTAACCGCATGTCCTAAAACCACACTCCGTAATGAGATTTGCAGTGATAAGCAATTTGGCTGTTTGCACCAGACGAAACATGACCGAAATTTAAATACAGCCATTCAGAAGGACAAAATATGCACTCACTCATGAATGGCAAGGTTTATAATCTAATTAATACATATTAAACCTCTTTAACATGAGTAGATGTAGATGCTGAATCATGTGCTGGTTTTGAATCACGGTTCTGAAGTTTAATTTCAATCGGTTTATTTCATTTTCAAGATCTGAGGTGAACTATCTGCTGCTGCTCCTTTCAGTAAATGGCAATAAATGTCATGTAAAATGGCATTCAAACTCATTGTTAGCATTTAACACTGAATAAAGCACATGAGATGTACCTGAGGTGAACATGTTAGGAAGTTTTCTGTTGTTCAGCTGCAAGAAATAGAGGTTGTTTCTAATATATCAATTTGAGGTGTTGGTTAGAACAAAAACTCATTTTAATATGGAAAATATTCCTTCTATCACATGCCGTTGCTTTTATATAGAACACGATTTAAATCAGCCTTTTTGGTCCTCAATCTTTGTTTTGATTCAAGAATGCGATACCTAGTTTAACCACTGCATGTCAAACTTACATATTGCACCTTTAATAAATGAATCTAATATTCCTGTATTATATGCCTTTTTAGTATTACACCTGCACAAGTGCTTTTCTTTTTTATTTGAGGGAATAGCAACTTTAATAATTAAATCTTTTGATTCAGATTTTTTCATTGAAACCAAACTTTGCCTATATATTTTAATATAATAAATAAAAGATAGAGGAAAAGGCTTGATGGGTGACCATTTGACAATTATGACATTAAGATGCAAAAAGTAACAGTAACTTTTCAGTAAAATTTTTATATTTTTTCGATAAATTTTACAGCTCTTGTTTACGAATTCGGTGTAGGTGTACTGTATGAATTTCACAAATGATCACACAAACAACAAGTAATGCATTACGTCAAACATGGCATTCTGAAGTACAAATTCTGAAATAGTCTTTAAAAACATACAAATAAAAATCTATGAAACTTTCATAATTGAGCGAAAAAACCTCATCAAACAAACAAAAAAAAATTAACAGTTTTATCATCTTAACATTTTTATTCCTATTTAGCTTGAGAAAATTATTTAAAAATGTAAGTCATCATTACCATTAGGGAAAAACAAACAATTAAATCAATGATGGGGAAAAATTCATCAACACATGAAGCTAATAGACTAATTAATCGTATATATCTTTTTATATCTCAGAAAACCAGATGCCAGTGATGGACCAGAACAGCTCTGATACGAAACCAAAGACGGAGACTAAAAGTAATAATTCCGAACGCACAAATAAACAACATTTTTGCCTTAATTGCCTTAAATAAATGTTTGTTTATTTGTTTACATTACATGTCTGTGGAAATTCATCCAGTATGTTGGTTTCTATCTTTTGTCTTTATCTGCTCTTCGCACAGTTGACAAACCAGACAATAAAGACTTCCGAAGTGACCCACCTGGTAAAATCAAGTTGCCTGGTCTGCACAAACCACCCGTTCCACCTCCACCAGTGAAGGACAAGGCCATAAAGAAGGATCCAAAGTAAGGAAGGACATTACAATTAACACCAAATATATAAGAAGAAGAGTTCCACGCTTCTTCAAATGTACTTGAATCTTAGACACATAAATTCATGTAAACAACTTAAAAACAAACTTAGGTTCTTCTAAGTGTTAGAAGTTTATGGTGTTATTTCAACAATTCGTCACCTTAGAATTATAAGGTTCTATCTGACATTTTTGTTACAATTCAGTTATTGACATATTCTTATTAAATGACAACTTATTTACATTATGAAATGTTCTAAGTTGTTTACATTTTAAGACTTTTTATTTAAGAAAACAAATGCTACACACATACTGTTTGCTATATGGAATGCAAAAACTTTAAAGCTCAATATCTCAAAATCATTCAGAACGCAGCTAGAACCTTGTAATTCCAAGGTGATAAATTGAACTGTGCTGCTTTCAAAACACTGAACAAAAAAACTAAGACATTCTTAATTAAAATCTTGTACAAGAGTTGGGACAAATTATTCACATTTTAGCAATTTTTGATAAACTGCAACTGAATATTATTAATATTACCAATACTGAATTTAACAAATTGTTTTCAAGTTTTCTGAACATGATGTATAAAATTTTATATATATATATATATATATATATATATATATATGTACAACTAGGTTACTGGCGCCGACTTTACTCTGATATTTTCATGTAAATATTGGGCCCTATCATACTCCCAGCGCAGTGGGGCGCAAGACGAGGCGCAGTAGTCTTTTGGAAGTTTCAGCTTGGCGCAAGAGTCGTTTTGAGGCGTTGCGCTACGCTGTTTAAATAGCAAATGCATTAGCGCTCATTTGTGAGCCCATAGGCGTTCTGGTCTAAAAAGGAAGGCGTTCTGAGGCGGACCGCTGGCGCGTCGCTATTTTAAGAAACTATAATAGATTTTTCATTAGACCAAAACTAACCCGGTCTAAACTCCGGCGCAGACTTGTGCCTCGCTTACGCACTGCTTAATACGCACAAGAGAGCAATAGGCAAATATCTTTACATATGAAAACATTTAAATATTAAGGATATATTTGGATATAATAAGAATAGATATAGGATATAAATATAAAGGATTAAAATAGTACAAAACATATTATTTTCTAGCCTACATAAATATGAAAAATCACTGCTTTTATGCTTCTTCATCTCGGGAGGCTTTTTCAGTTCATTCATAACAATTTGCTTTTGTATAATGTTATTATTAATAGCAGTATTATTTATTATATCCATATTTATATTTGTTTTATTAAAAACAAGCTTAGATTTGCCCACCTGTCAGGTTTTAGACCATATGGGGCATGGCAGGTGTGTTTGGAAATAACTCAGTATTTTGACCACACTTGGTCATTATTGTTCATTTATTCGTTTGCAAAAAATTAGAACTGAATTTAGAAATAGTTTTGAAACAAATCTTTGCGCTTAACAAACTAAATTAATTATTTATAGGCTAATTGATGTTTGTGCATAAAGGTTTTCCTATCCAAGAGCGAAAGTGAAAGTAGATCATTTATCTCTCATTCTCACGCAGTAGATGCTCTGTTTAACAGTTTTCTGTTAAAAAAAACTGTCAACTGTTAACTGTTTGCTTGTGAAATGCTAATTTTTTCTACTTAGACTTACTTTGCGTCCTGTAAATAGCGAATGCGCTCTTGGCGCGACGCAGCTGGGTCTTAAAGGGAATGGGAGATGAGACTCTAATTGGTTTATTCTCAAAACACACCTATAACTCATTAAGAAAATAAACTCAACCCTTTTAGCCCATGCGCCTTGGTGCAAAGCGCATTTTCCCGTCCGTAAATTAGCAAAAATGCGTTCTGACATGCCCTGAAAGCGTTTGCGCCCTGCGTTTTGCGCTCAGCGCATGGACCATCAAAATAGAGCCCATTATGTCTAAGTAAAATGTTAGGGATGGGGTGTGAAGTACAAAGGTGCTTGATTTAAAATTATTGGTCATTTAAAAAGTCTTTGAATCTGGTGTCTGTGAAAGAGTGGGAACCCTGGAAATCTGAAACAAAAGTTTCAGTAGCTAGTCAGTATTCAGTTTCCATCGGTTATTTCAGCTCAGGGGATGATTCCCCATAGTTAAGCAGTCATTTTGTATTGTGTGTTATTCTAAAGGGCCTGTGAATGTTCAGTCTTGTAAAGAGAGATGGAAATTTTATGAGTTGCTGAGGGACTAAACAAACTCAAACTGCCTGTTTCCTGTTTTTCTGAGTAAGCATATTAAAAAAAAACAGAGACTGACACATCCTCAGGCAAGCGCACAGAATGAACATGTCATTTTTGCTTAAATGAATGCACAAACTACATCACAGTCAATTAAAATTTAATCAGCATTTTCCATCACAATTAGCTTAATAAAAGCACTTTAAGGCACATTAGACTTTTTTCACATACTGTAATAACCATATAACAGATACTAATGTTTATTTTGACTCTGTGTGACACTATCAGTGTATTTTCAGTATAAAAAGTTTCTCAAGTGTTTAATTGTATTGTATGCGCATAATGCATTTTTTCCCTCTTTTAGAAATGCTGAAGAGCCACAGAAACAACCGCCGCCTCCTTCTCCAGTGCACAAAGAGGTAAAAGACATTAAGGAGGTTAAAGATAAGACCCCTGACCAGTTTGATGGTGTAGACGTGTCCTCAGAGAAACTGAGCCATCCCACGGCCAACAGAGCTAAACCTCCACAGAGGAGACCACCAACAGCCCTCGCCACTGCTATACAAGTGAGCCGAACACAAGGGCACAGGCATGACACTCATACTGTACACACCTCAGGATTAAAGCTCACCGGCTTTCAGTGTGTGACAAAACCGCTCTCAATACAAAGGGCTTCTATAAAGCTTTTCACACTTTCAGCTTCCTTTAATGCTTAATGTTGCAGCTTGAGCATGTGAATGCATGAAATCTGCTGGCAATTTAGCCCCGTTCTGATTACACAATTATTTTTTTCAGAATTTTCTAGATGATTTGCTTGATTTAGGGTGTTGTGGACATTCATAAATGACAAATGGGTGACGATATGCAAAATTCAAATGTTTCTTGTTTTGTAGTGACTCACAACAACTGATTCAATGTCTGTGACAGAAGTGTCAACACAGAAAGTCTAGCAGGTTTCATTTTTTTCTTTTTTCCATGACTGGGTTTGTCACATGCGTCATGTAGACCAATAGGAGCACAGATACTCTTTATTAGATTTTTAACATGGCAAAACAAAATATAGGCAAGGCAAGTTATTTCTATAGCACATTTCATACACAGTGGCAATTCAAAGTGCTTTACATAAACAAGAATAAAAGAGACCAGCATAAGAAAATAAAAACAAATAATAAAAGTGATTAAAACAGGTTATAAAAGAATGAAAAAGAAAAGAAAGACAAAATTGTGCGTTCTGTTGGACGTAGCACAGTGCTCATTCAGTAAAGGCACAGATAAACAGAAGCGTTTGCGGTCTTGATTTGAACGTGCCTAAAGATAGAGAACTGTGCCACTAGAAATCTTTGTGGAGTTACAGCAACAGTGCTTCTGTTTGTATGATGTGTCAGTGAGGGACTAATATGACAGAATAAAAAATTAAATGGTGGCAATTAATAGCTGAGGCACATCAACAGCCCAGTAAGAACTGGAATACATACGCTACCTGACAAAAGTCTTGTCGTCGATCCCAGTTGTAAGAGAAACAAATAATAACTTGCCTTCTAGTTGATCATTTGTAAAAGTAGCAAAAGGTAGATTTTTTTTTTTTTTTGTGCTGCCCATGACATTACAAACCACAGGAGAGGGCAAATTCTTCAGCAGGATAGCGCTCCTTCTCATACTTCAGCCTCCACTTCAAAAATTCCTGAAAGCAAAGAAAGTCAAGATGCCCCAGGATTGGCCAGCCCAGTCACAGAATATGAACATTATTGAGCATGTCTGGGGTAAGATGGAGGAGGCATTCAAGATGAATCAAAAAAATCTTAATGAAATCTAGGAGCCCTGCAAGAATGCTTTCTTTGCCATTCCAGATGACTTTATTGAAGTTATTTCAAATGAATAGATGCAGTCTTCCAAGCTAATAGAAGTCATACACAACAGTAATTATTTTTCCACTGCACCATGACTTTATATTGTATTATAGACATTTATTCTGTTAAATCAAGGCAGGATCATATTTTATTTTGGTAAAATAAAAGGCCTTTGCCTTTCAAAAAAGCCACTTCTGATACCAAATGATTAACTAGAAGTCAAGTTATTATTTGTTGTTCCTAAAACTTGGATAGGCGACAAGACTTCTGTCAGGTAGTGTATAAAAACAAATCTCTGGTACGTTCTTATTTACAAGAAGTGCATCAAAATTGTGTATAAATTTATCTTTGAAGGTAACTGACTGCCTGTTAAAAGTTTTATTGTCCTTTGAAGTTCAAGTAACATTAGCGTTTGTGAGTGCTGTGTTGCTTTGTTTACAGCTGTTGCTGGAAAACCGTTTCTGCAGCTTTAAATGCAACTTTTGTTGGCACAAAAGCATTTACTTAACTACTGTTTTTGGTCAGAAAACACACACACACACGCACACACACACACATATGCATACATGGGGGCAGTCAGATAATTACACGTGTAATAATTGTAACATATGAGCATTCTTGACTAAATGTTTAGGGTGTTTTTAGCACCCACAAAACATGAAGATTTGATCTAGAAAATTAGTATTTGATAAAGTAACATTAAAAATTGTTTACTCTGAACAGGGCTTCACAATGCATCTTTCCAACCCAATGGCCTAATGTTAATCTTGATATTTCTTGTACCTATATACAGTACATGTCATAATATCACAAATTTAAATAATTTTGGCACCAAGTGCATGAGGCCTGGTTGAGTAATGTTAGTACTATTAGTTCACTATTATCATATCTAAGTCAAGAGACATGGTTGCACAGATCTAATATACTGATACACAGGAAATTTATTTGCCAAATGTTTACACTCACATACATTATGTAAGCTGTATGTGCTTTTGACATGACCTTGTTACATTTGACAGTTGAGAAACAGAACTTGCTATATATAGAACTAACTTGACAGTCAGCTTCTTGTGTGCAAGTGATTTGTGTGTTTGTGCTCAGAAAACTATTCAGCAGTTAAACCGAAAGTCCTTTCGCACATGAAGATGTTTCACTTGTTCTTGCTGGAGTAAATGAGGCATAGGCTGTAAAGGCTCCATTCTCTTTTTTCAAAGGGGCAGGAAATGCAAATAAGTGTGCTTTATATGATAAATGATCTGGATTTATTTTCAGCTGAACATATTCTGGAGAAACATCTGATTTACATTATACCCTCTTAAAAACAAACAAACAAACAAACAAAAAACTATTCGGACCCCTGAAATGAGTTGCAATGAATCAAGTCAATTCATGTCATGAAATGTGTGCAGAGAAAAATGATAACTTTAGCACAAACGGAAGTAAAAATAAGTTCTGCTGATCAATAAAATAATAAATAATTTTTATATCATAGTTACTATATAATATGTTTGTTTTAATTAACTGGTATAATCAGTTACATTTGCATTCAATCCAATGCAAATGTAATAGCATGTCAGTAGAAATGCATGGAGAATGATAATCAAAACAAAAAAATCTAATATGTAATTATTTAAGTTAGTATAATTATTAAATAATTATTGACTGTCTAATGTCTTAATAAATAATGCAAAAACATCTGTTTTTCATAAAGGGTCCTGCTGAAACTGACTGCAGCAAACCTTCAGAGGAGAAGGATGGAGCACCACAACATATTCCAGAGGTTTGGATAACTCTTTATAAGAGCTTTCATTTAAAAATATTACTACATTAAATAATGTTTCTCAGATCGCCTCATGTACCTTCAAATATTTTAAATGTAATTCATTTATAGTTTTGTATATTTGAAATATTTGGAAGTATATGATCTTTTGATCTGTCAAGCGTTATATAATGTTTTGAGCAAATATTAATGAAAGTTGTTCTAAAGTGTTACCAAAGGTTGGAAAACAAAAGATATTAGATTCTGGAGTTATTTGAGGCCACACTTTTAATTATTTGCAGCCTTAAGGTGTTTAAATTGAACTTAACTTTAAAACGATTTGAGATATAAAATTAAATGTCATAAACTTTAATAAAATGGAACATGTTAGAACCAGTTAAAGTATTATAAAAATGTATCTTAATGATCGCATCATTTTGTACAGCATATAAAACATCTAAAACATTCAATGGTTTGAAGCAATAGGGTGTAAATGTAATTAAATGTTTCATGTTTTTGCTCACAAAAAAAAAACCAGATTTTTCAGCACCATTACTGCAGTGGTCAATGCAACATGAACAGTCCTCAATAAATCATAAGGTCCCACTTTATATTAAGTGTCATTAACTACCATGCACTTGCTTCAGACTAGAAATACAATGTACAAATGTGTTCATAATGTATTGCATATATTAAGGTGGAATACGAGTAAGGTTAGGAAAAGCTTTGGTGGTATGGGTAGGTTTAAGAGTGGGTTAAAATGTAAGGGATGGTCGACAGCAGAATTTTATTTATTTTAATTTCATTTTTTAAATATATTGTTGGCGTTTTTGCCTTTATTAGATAGGACAGGATTGAGACAGGAAGCAAAGTTGGAGAGAGAGAGAGAGGGAGGTAGGGTAGGGAAATATCCTTGAGCCGTGATTTGAACTCAGGACGCCCTGATGTGCTACTGCACCATATGTCGGTGCTCTAACCACTAGGCTATTGCGCCGATAACAGCGTAATTATAAACAGAAATTAATTAGAGACATAATTACATGCAGGTATTTAATCAATCATAAGTACTATGTAAAAGCATGCATTTACACTAAAAGTACAATGTAATAAATTATTAATTTCAATGTACTGTAAGTACATATTAGTTAAGGCCACTTTGTAGAAAGTGGAACCAATCAGATCCATTAAGCTAATTTGACGCTTAAGAAATGCTTATTATCAATACTGAGAAATGTGCTGTTTAATATTTAGTGGATACAATTATACATATTTTCAGGAGTATTAGAAAAAAGCTGAAAAAAAAAACAGTCACACCTTACAATAAGGTTTCATTAGTTTTTGTATTTACTAACATGAAGTAATTATAAGCAATATACAGCATTTATTAATCATAGTTCAACATTTACTAATGCATTTTTAGGTCAAAAATACTTTTGTCTTATAATATGCATTTATTTTTACCTAATTATCCCAACGACACCCATATGATTCATTCAGCGATTCATTTGTTCCCAAACCACTCCTTAGTGCGATGCTAATCTGTGCTGATTGGTCAGATGACCCAGTCTATTGCAATTGGTCACTGGGTTCAGCATGAGACAGAGAGAAATGCCCACATTGTTAAAGTAGTAGAGTGCAGAGTATATGTGTGAGCCCAATTAAGGAGTGCATTAAAGCAATGCAGTTTAGCACCAGCATATTACTCTATTCTTAACCATGACACGCATTCAGTATTAGTCCACACAGTGGAAAAAGCTAAACTATTTTGAAATTTGACTGTGGCACATGTGTAGGAACAGCTGATGATGGCCATAGCAACGACAAACAACAGAGGATCGCGAGCTCACAGATGCATTTAAATCTGTAAAAAAAAGCAGCACACGTCACGTTTTCAGCATGCTTTTAGACTCAATATAAGAATATAGTGTTAACCAGATACACTACAGGCCGCGTGGAGCGATTACAAGTAATTATTTACAAGCTATAGAAAACAAGGAGGCAACCATTTTAAACACACTTACAGTGAGTTACTTATACTTGTGAACTGGAGGGAGGAACTGATCCATGAACTGTCAGAGCTTGACAGAAACTTTACAGTGCACAAAGTCCCATACATCAATAGTATTTTCTGATCCTTCCTTAAACAAACGGCTGTCAAATCCCTCGTTGAAAGCATGCAGATTGCTAAAGCACTCGTCAGAAAAATGACAGGAACACAGCACAAGGCTGGGGCTATAATGCTGAGGTATTTTTGCAAAAATAAACTTCAACCACTGACTCTTCTCAGCCTCATCTTTGGGTGGGAAAAATAACACTTAACTTTCCCTCACACTTTAGGGCACAGCGTCTTTGTGACAAGATTTAACCGGGATCTGCTACAGTGTTTGTCTTCCTCTTTTTCTTTCTACAATGTTTGTGGGTGGGGCCGGGGGTTTTAATTTTCCCAAGTCTGTGTGTGCAACAAATAGGCGGGGCTTGAGTTCTGCATCGACGTCACACCAACATGACTAAAGACTTATTACCCCCATGATTCATGAATCAATAGTTTTAAAAACGGCACACTTTCAGATGTAAGCCTTAGCTGGATATTTCACTTCACTTAGAGCTGTGTCACACTGCATGTAAGGTCATTTTTAAAAACTGAAAACAGGGGCTCTCTAAACGTTACTTTTACTAAACATTGATCAATGATTGCACCCCTTGCTCACTAAAATCCTCTCTAATCTAATGTAACTTTATTTGTTAGTATGTACTGTAGTTCCAGTATTTCTGTCCCTGATCCTTGTGTTGCTGAGCTGCTGGCATTTTCCCTCAGGCTACAGAATCCCAGTCAGCACCTTCCAGTAAGACAGAGCCGGTGACTTCACCTTCTAAAATCCAGACTGACAGCAGATCAGCGGTTCAGGAGGACGGTGCGTCTCTGGCCTCGGTGCTAACTGAACTCAAGGAGCTCCGCATGTCTCTGGATCTGCTGAAAGCACAGCATGAGTGAGTAAAAATCCCTCACACTCTGCAACCATAACATCACACACACATCCTTCATCACAGTCTCACTGTTTCCTGACCAGGAGAGACATAAAGGAGCTGAAAGAAGAACTGAAAGACGAGACGGAGAAGCGCACCAGATTACAGGTTAGATATCAGTCTGTTCCGTGGAGATAATAGAGTTCCAATTAGGGCTGAACAATTATATCATTTGAGCATGGATATCGCAACATGTGAACCGCAATATGCATGTCACAGGATTGGATCATTTAGTAAAGATAAAAAGATGAAGAATATATTAAATGTTGCTTTTAAAATTTGTTTGTATATTGTCGACCATGTTATTTTACATTTGATTGTCAGGTTTGAACACTGATAGACTCCTCAGAACTTTTATATTAAATATGTTATTTAATGTATTTGTATATGCTTGTAATTTATTTTATGATGCACTGCATAGAAAAAGACTTGATCATCGCAATTGAGTTAAAGGAATAAAATCTTTCCAAATGGAGCTATTCAAATCATCTGGTGAAATTATATTCATACAGTTGAAGTCAGAATTATTACCCGAAGATTTATTTATTTTATTATTTTTTTTTATATATTTCCCAAATTATCTTTAACAGAGCAAGGACATTTTCAGTTTTTTTTTTCTGGAGAAATTCTCATTTGTTTTATTTCGGCGAGAATAAAAGTAGTATTGATTTTTTTGAACACCATTTTGAGGTCAAAATCATAAGCCCTTTTAAGCTATATTTTTTTCGACAGTCTACAGAACAAATCATTGTTATACAATAACTTGCCTAATTACCCTAACCTGCCTAGTTAATCTAATTAACCTAGTTAAGACTTCAAATGTCACTTTAAGCTGTATAGAAGTGTCTTGAAAAATATCTAGTAAAATATTATTTACTGTCATCATGGCAAAGATAAAATATATCAGTTTTTAGAAATAAGTTATTAAAACTATTATGTTTAGAAATGTGTTGAAAAAAATCTGCTCTCCGTTAAACAGAAATTTGGGGAAAAAAAATAAATGGGAGCTAATTATTCAGAGGGGCTAATAATTCTGACTTCAACTGTACATCGCACCAAAACAAAATAGTGCACTGTCCAATTTTTTTCCCCAATGTCATCAATTTAATATTATTTAGAAGTTTTTTTTTATTTTTATACTTAGCATTTTTAAACATCGATATAGTTTTTGCTCATTTTAGTGTTCGATATATTTATTTTTTTATTTTTTGTATGTACTAAATAAAAAGTTATTTTCTTGGCAACTAGCTTAAAATAGACAATAACTGTCTTAAAAGTGTTTTTAAAAAAATTATAAATTAGCTATAATATGTTATTTTGAATTATAAACAAATTATGATAATTGTAGGCTTTATTATTAGTAATTATTAATAGATTACAGCAGGCCCGGATCAAATTTCAGAGGCACCTGGGTACATTGTTTTGTAGGGCCTCTTAACCGGCTGCACCTTAATAGTTGAATTAAAAAATAAGAAAATTGTAGTAACAATAATAATAATGAATGTAATTAATTAATATGAATAATAATCATGTAATATTTTTAATGAAATGAATCTATAATGTGTTGCCCGCATTTTTTAAATGAATGATATATAGTACATAAATGTATAGTCTACAAAGATTTTACTTTTGAAGCGTTTCAAGCACACTTTGATAAAAAAACTGATAAAACTAGTAATTATTGATTTTTAGTATACTACAAGTTCACTGAAGCAGTACTAAAATATATATATTTTAAGTGGTATTCATTGGAAATAAAAATTAGTTATATTAAGATGTCACTAACATTTAACACCAGGTGGAAAATAACTTTATAGAAAATTTAAAACAACTATTTAGATGATGTTTTTACACATATGAAATAAGCTAAATCTTATTAAATAACCATGAGCCACTTGTGACTTTGTCGCATTTTCATTTTTAAACAAAAATATTTCCTTTCTATTAAAAATAAATGTATTTCCAGTCTGATAATTAATGGCAAAAAAAGAAGAATGAGTTTATCTGATGATGGATTCGAACCATGAACAAAACATGATGCCATGCGCTTTACGAACTGCGCCACTCACGCTGTTGTTAAGCGCTCTGTAGTTATGTTGTCTCTGTTGATCAATCAGTGATGGGATTAAATCGCTCAAATAGCTTATTACAATGAGGTGTGCTATTTGCGCTTATTAGTCTAAGGGTGCTTTCACACCTGTGAATCGATTCAGTTGTTCCGAAACAGAGATTAAAATTGTTACATTGTTGCTCTTTGCTCTTGGAGCGGTTCGCTTTCACACTGCAAAGTTTCTAATCGGACCAAAAGAGCTAAAACAAGTCACGTGCGAGTAAAATCTTCTTACATTGGTCAGAGTGTCAGGGTTTATTTTGCAGCGTCCCGCTCAGCTGTCAGGAGAGGTGGTGGTTTGGTGGTGATTGACAGGGGGCGCGCGCGTGACGTGTCTGAGGAGAGACACGGTGGGGAGGGGTGAGAAGGGTGCGCGACGATGCCTATTTGAGGACTGGGAGAGAGACGCGAGATTACCGGGAGATCATCCCTCGTTTGCGGGCATCCGGAGACTCACGAAACTTCCCGCCCTACTCATAATTCTCTCTTCATATAGCCGTAAGCCTATTACATATCCATAAAACACTGTGATATAACCGCGCTCGGATCGGATCGCTTTCTCACTGCAATCGAACCGCTCCAGGGTTCGTTTCAATCGAGCCGAGACCACCTCATTCAAGCGATCTCGGAACTGGCGAAGCGAACTGGGCAAACGAGATACGTTCTGAAACAAAAGTGTAGGTGTGAAAACACCCTAAATAAACACTCCAAAATCTGTATTTTGTTCACCCTTGCAAGGGCCCCAATAGCACACGGGCCCTGGGCTTGTGCCCATAATGCCCATTGGTTATTTCGACCCTGGGTTATAGCTATGATTTTAGTTGGGTATAATCAGGGATAGACAGTATTTATGATACATGTATTTCAAATACATATTTCAAACACAAAACAGTATTTTGTCATTTGTATTTGATGGGGTTTATAAAACAGGCTTAAACTTTTGTATCAAAATACTTTAGCGTCTTGTATTTTTGTATTTTTTAAATACTGTAAAATACTTTGTAAGAAGACTGCATAATGTCATTATAAAAATGTGGACTTTATTAGTGGTCTTTTCTCAGTTGTTTGCCAAGGCTTGAGATCTCACTAGAAAATGTATTAATATAGAAGAAGTTGATCAATGTTTGGAGTATGGTTGGAAATTATGCATCCAATATAAAGTAACAGACAAATAGAAGAGGTTGATTTGGGAGCAAGTCAAAATAAGACAGGAAAATAAGATATATTATAGTTAATTACAAACGTTGACATAGTTAATCAGTATGAGACAAAAATATGAAATAATACTCCAATCTACAGACTGGTGAAAACTCCTAGTGGCAGCAAAAACAGTTAATACACTAAATCAGTTTAATGGTGAAGGGATTGATGGAATAGGCCTATTGATAGAAGGTTTGCGAAGAAATGTCATGCTCCCTTGTAAAAGTTTTTTGTAGTATTTTCAAAATACCCAAAAACAGTATTTTATTTGATAGATTTTGTGGCTGCTGTATTTTGTAGTTTATTTTGATACACTTAGAATGTAGGTTTTTGGTATTTTATTTTAAAATACATTTGAATGTATTTTTGCCCGACAGTGGGTAAAATAACCCATATATTAAAATTATTAGAGTATTTTTATATGCATTTTATTCTATTTTAGTACATCAAATTAAACTAAATGTTAGTGAGAAATATTTTCTTAGGAAGTAATTCAAGATATATTTATAAATAATTCTTTATTTAGTACATTTATTTTGGGTAACACTGATTTTAGCTATGTGGTTTTTAGTTTCAATTCTATAATAAACTACAAATAGTTAATTTGTATCAATCAACTTCTTTTTTTGGTCAAAAAACTATTTCCTTGGCTACTATCTGAAAAAAAGTTTTAAAAAGTTTGTTTTAAAGTTTTAATTTAATATTTTTTGCTAGTTAAATCTAGTCTAGTCTCCGCTGCTTTAGCCCAAGAGTGAAATAGTAAACACGCATAAATAGTGACACATTTAGAGCTGCTCATTTGTATTAAATACCATGGTCGTCCTCAAGAGGGCAGCAGTGAGTTAAAAATACAACCCGTTTTAACTGACAGAACGTCTCCGTTGCTCCTGTTGTCTTAAAAGATACCATAAAAAACATCTAAAAAAAACAGATATACCTGACACTATAAGTTTGACTTGGAAAAAAATAATTAATTCACCTTGTAGAATTTAAATATAGTCCTGCTTTATTTATAGGACGAAGTGACTGCCTTGAGGAAAAAACAGTGACCAGCGAACATCAGGAGAACTTCACAATCTCAGTGATCTTCTGAATATGGATACAGAAAGACAGTAATGCGGTGCTGAGTGGAATGTGAAGGTATGAGGAATCATATAGAAATCCAGCACTTGTGACTTGTTGAATACTTCCTGGTTCAGCAGACCAGAAATCTGATCTCCATTCAGACGGCAATCAAACTACAACAACACCTCTTCTTTCTTACATAAATCAGCTCATTTGGTTATGGGAGCTCTCTCTCGGTTTGCTTCTTGAGACTCATATATATATATATGTGCATTTTGAAATATGTAAATATCAAATACTGAATGTCTTATATTTCCGTGGACATTTAGGGTGAAACTAGGTCATGTTTCAAAGTATTTAACACTTTCTGTTGTTGTTGTTATTATGTTTCTGTTTTGTGGCTGTACTCTATAGAATCTCAATCAATAAATATTGGCATTTATATTGCTAACATGTTTTACTCCAAAAGAGTTGAACTTTTTTTGAATGCTGCATTAACATTTTGTCTAGTTCACAAAAAACTTGAAAATATAATAATTTTTTTGTTAAAAACAAAGGAAGATATACTGAACACCATTGAGATGATGATAAAGTCTGCTGAAAGGTCCATTAGAGTCGATATGACATCTATTGAGGAACTGTATCAACAACGATGTCTAGGGCAAATAGCATTTTAAGGGATCCAACCCACCCTGGCTCATGCCATCAGGCAGGCGGTACCGAAGCCTGAGGAGCAAATCCGTGCGGTTTCATGATGGTTTTTATCCTGTCTTTACAAGACTTTTGAATAAGACTATATTTTAAACACTGTTGATAGCTAGTATGTAATAATAAACCTATAAATAGTTCAACTAGCGCCAATTGTTAACATTCTAACTATAGTAACAAACTGTGCAATAGTTATTTAAGTATTTATTCCCTTCTGTGATTTGTTTTTTTTAAATAGGGTTATATTTTAATATTATTTTAAATTCATGAAATTCTAAAAGCTTATTTATTATGATAGGTTTTTATAGTGTTTGATGTTTTTTTTCCGATGTTGGGATGTTTTAAATGACAAAAATAAAAGAAACTAAACTAAACTAATGAGTGTTCAGTAAAAAACAGCCATTGACTTCCATTGTATTTGTATTCCTACTATGGATGTCAGTGTCTGCTTTTTCAGAATATCTTATTTTGAGTTCAACAGAAGAAAGAAAGGCATGCAAGATTAAAATGTGAGGAACTTTTTCTTTTAGAGTGAACTACATGTATCCCCTAAAACACAATTCTAGGTCATTTCAACAAATGTTAAACGCAAAAAAAAACAATATAAAAGTTTCTTTGTGAATGACAAAAATGACTTCGCTTCATCTCTAAACAGAATCTGAAAGTCCATTTTGGTTTGGTGAAGATGAGATTTTAGCCTCTCTTTAGACCGAAAACAGCATCTGGAAACCATGTGGAGTGCATTAGATCTTCATAGTCTGACTAATCACTGGGAATGGATTATTTTTAATGACATACAGACTAATCCTGCATAACAGAAAGATCTTAGTAGGGTTGCAGCGACGAAAAGTACCATGAATCAAATTCTTTCGCTTTTCCGGGCTCATTTTTTGATGTTGTGACTCTCGTTCACACATATTGGGTATCATAGTCCAGCATCTTAATCAGAATGGACTTCATAAACATAATTTCAAAGGTGTTTCATTAGAAAGTTCTGGCATTTTCTGTGTAAACTCTGTTATTGGTAACACTTTGGTCTACTGTAACTGTTTGTGGTTTGGCACTTGTAGTGGTGTAAGGTTTAATAATCTCGCCAAGATCTCTTCATATCATTGCACAGCCAGAAAAGTCATCTGGAACTGAAGCAAATGATACAATAATGCTTGGTGAGCAGCATTTGAAGGAATAGTTCACCCGAAAATGAGAACGGCGCCATGATTTACTCAACCTCAAGGCATTCTCGGTGTATACGGCTTTCTTCTTTAAGATGAATACAGTCAGAGTAGTTTTACATTTTATGCTGGATCTTCCATGTTTTATATTAGTGTTGGGTGGTGGCCATTTTAAGTGGTGCATTAATCTGTCATTAAATCAATCCATACATCAGATTGTTGTGTTGAATCATGACCTCAAATAACTGACTTCATGCATTCAGCCACTGCTGGTTCTCGATAACTTGACTATAGATCGATTTGTTGCAGAAACGTAAGAATAATGTAGTGTTTAATGTTAAAGCCAACTAGTTTTTCTTGGTTAATGTCGTCTTCTGTGGTAAACCAACTGTGTAGTCATTAGTTTCTGTGAGACTTGTTTTTTTTCTGGAGCTTTTGTTAGGAATGCATCTTATGCCACATGTCAAGTCAGAGGTCAGACAAGAGGTTCTAGAACAGGCCAGTGATTTGAATTTATAATTTTAATATTAAAAATAAAACATTGATAAGTCATAGATGAGAGTAGGAGCGTAGATTGACTAGTGGTTCAAATGCTTTAACTTTCGGCTCTTCCTTTACCATAAGGACCGGTACATTGACCGCATTACTGCTGCCACTGCACTAATCCACATCTCACCTATGCTCATGGGCTTTGGGTCATAACGGAAAGGACAAGATCTTGGATAAGCACACCCTCATAGATAGCATGAGGAGCTCTGTCACCCAGGAGGAGCTCGGAGTAGAGCCACATCGAGAGAAGTCAGCTGAGGTGGCTCTGGCAACTGTTTCGGATGCCTCCTGGACGCCTACCTAGGTAGGTGTTCCAGGCATGTCAGACTGGGAGGAGGCCTCGGAGAAGAGCCAGGACACGCTGGAGAGAATGTGTCTCCTGGTTGGTCTGGGAACACTTTGGGATACCCTGGAGGAGCACAAGGAAGTGTTTGGGGAGAGCGAAGTCTGAGGTTCTCTTTTAAGACTGCTGCCCCCACGACCTGGCCCCAGAAAATCGGTTGAAAATGAATAAATGAATTGATAAATCTTGTTTAGCCCCTGATAGCAGGGTTACTTTTATGATGGATTATGTGCTTTTAGAATTGGAAGTTTTAAAAAAGTGGCCACAAATATGGAAGAGCCAGGGTGAATTGTAACACTACATCTGACAAAAAGTCGCAGTGAGGATTGAGGTTGAGTAAATTATTCGGTCATTTTAATTTTGGGGTGCACTATTCATTTAACTTGGATATTAAAGATGATTTGAGTCTATTTGGAAACTTTACTTCTACTTTTTTCGATTTTAGTCTATTTTTTTTTATATATTCTTTTCATGATGTAAAGGCAGTACTCTTAATTGACTGATGACTAAAACAGCGCGGAGATTGACTGTAAAATGCACGTGGTAATCTGGAAAACATCAGGTTTGCAAGTATCTTATATATAATTTGTTACTTGTATTCTGAGTTTTTCAAATTATTTGGCAAATCAACCCTTGATTGTTTATTGTTAGTTTTCTAAACTAATGCTGCGGTCACATTAGAGTTTGTGTGTGTGAAATTCTGCTGTGAAACGGGACAGGATGAAACAAGATGATTAGACATTTTAAAAAGCAAGCGATTGGTCCATATTTTAAATGTCTGTCTAGAGAGCTCATGTTTTGGTCATCGGTTGGTCTCAAACAGTCAAATGATGTGATTTTGCAGGTATGAGTTCATCAATCTTGAGCTTTGCAATGCAGCGAACTGCAAAATTTGTCGCACAAGCTTGCGTTTCCGGTCTGACTCATTCATGTGCGTATGAATGGAAGTCTAAGGGGAGAAAAGTCCAGTGTGATCGTAGCTTCACTTGGGGAGGAGCATGCGATATGATTGATTGCAGCTGGTCTCTCATCTGCAATCATAGATAAACCAATCAGATTAATCCAGCGGTGTCAAACTCGATTACTGAAGAGCCACAGCCCAGCAGTTTACTTAAGCCTGTTATATCTACAGGTATCAAACAAGCCTATATGACTCGATTAGTTTGATCAGGTGTGTTTAATCAAGGTTGGAACTAAACTGTGCAGAGCTACGGGGCTCCAGGGACTGAGTTTGACACCTGTGGATTAATCCAAACCTACAATAAAAAAAGAATCCCCTGTCCACCCCATCTCCCCCTTTTTCTCCTTTACCAGGAGGAGCTCTTGAGAACTACCTGATCTTTTTACTTGCTAAATGACCAGGTGGGCTTAATTATCTCCGAGCTCATGGTTTATCCCGGGACAGCATTTCAAACCTGCAATTAGTATCAGGCAATCTCTATGTGTGAACTCTTAAAATAACATCTGATTGGTTTACTTGCAATCCAGAGAAAATGATCCATCTTGGATATTTTTGGATTAATTTAGGAATGCATATATTGCTGTATCGTTTATTAGATATTTTTTAAATAATTGATCAATATTGAATGTAACATTGCTGTTGCTCATCTCCAATCTCCCTTTTTTAGCAGGATTTATTATTATACAAGTTCAACATTATTCATAAAAAATAATCAGCAATTTAATAAATTGCACACTTTTACAAAGATGTCAAATCTACAGTATGGTGCAAAGAGTCACTTTTTAAAAGAAATGTTTGTCGTGTTGTAATTACTTTATTTAAAAAACAAACATTGGTGCTGAGTTTTAATAACTGTGTATCTCTAGCTATTTGGTTGCTGCATGGCATGATTTACATGAAAGATTTCATTTTTAAAAAAAGTACAAAAATAGCAAAAAAACAAAGCATTTATACAGAATAAACGGCATGGTGCAAAAGTGCATTTGCTTGGTTGTGAGCTTCAATATTCACAAACCAACTCAGACATCAAAGAAAGAATTTGTGCTTTAAATTTACACCCGATATTAAGATGTGTTTTGTTGATCTGATGATAGTAAATAAAATAGTGTAAACATGGTCTGAAATGCGATCTCATCCATTCATCCACCTCCAGAGGTAGTCAAAAACATCAGATTGGATTACCTTCATAATGTAAACAGTCTTGTGATAGAATGCAATCAAACTGTCTAAAAAACCCATCTATTTCCACCTACTGACTTCATTCTTGAACATTTCAGGACATATTGTTGATCAGCAAGTCCTGATTGTAACATAAACTTGCAGTGTTTGGCATAGATTTGCAGCTTTCAGAGCAGATGCAAAAGCTACTCTTTGTATTATTCTCCATCGTCTCATGTGATTTTTACGTAGTGTAAATTGCTTAAACTTACAATATTAAATCAAATGCTCAGAAAGGCTCATACACTACCTGACAAGTCTTTTCGTCAATCCCAGTTGTAAGAGCAACAAATAATAACATGCCTTCTAGTTGATCATTTGGAAAAGTGGCAGATGGTAGATTTATCTGATGAATCATCTGTTGAACTACATCCCAATCATCACAAATACCTATTGGAACCCACATGGACCCAAGATTCTCACAGAAATTAGTCCAATTTGGTGAAGGAAAAATCATGGTTTGGGGTTACATTCAGTATGTGCAAGAGATCTGCACAGTGGATGGCAACATCAACAGCCTGATGTATCGAAACATTTGTGCTGCCCATTACATTACAAGCCATAGGAGAGGGCAAATTCTTCAGCAGGATAGCGCTCCTTCTCATACTTCAGCCTCCACATCAAAGTTCCTGAAAGCAAAGGTCAAGATGCTCCAAGATTGGCCAGCCCAGTCACCAGGCATTGAAGATGAATCCAAAAAATCTTGATGAACTCTGGGAGTCCTGCAAGAGTGCTTCCTTTGCTATTCAAGATGACTTTATTAATAAGTTATTTAAGTCACTACAGAGATGTGTGGATGCAGTCTTCCAAGCTCATGGGAGTCATACACAATATTAATTCTTTTTCCACTGCACCATGACTTTATATTCTATACTCTACATTATTTCTGTTAAATGACAAGACCTTCATCTAAGCAAAGTCAGACCTTTCTGTCCTAATGAAATAATTAAAAATCAAGGCAGGATCATGTTTTATTTTGGTAAAATAAGTGTAATCTAGAGGCCTTTGCTTTTCATATAAGCCACTTCTGATACCAAATGATCAACTAGAAGTCAAGTTATTACGCGTTGTTCCTAAAACTTGGGTATTCCCACCCACAGACTGATGTGGCCAAAAGATTTATTTAAAAATGTGTTAAAAAATGGACTGTTGTGTTTTGTTTTTGTTATTCTGATTGATTGGGCCGCATTCTTATCTGTGGTAATTTACTCTATATATACACACACACACACACACACACACACACACACCTGTGACTGTTGCTTGGCAACCATTTCACTATCAGTTCAAGTGTTTTATTTTGTGAAATTTTAGTATGTATATTGGATTAACCATTTAATAAAAGTAATAATCCCTATTAAATTGTGGTTTACAGTGAATTTATAACAGCTAATGATTTTTTTTAGGTCCTCCACTCCACATTGTTATAAATTCACTGTAAAGAATGGTTTCTTGGGGCTTATTGCTTTTGTTTCTCTCACCTTCTTTTGGTCCATCAGCCAAAACACATCTTGAAGGGATAGTTCACCCAAAAACACAAATTTACTCACCATTTACTTATTTAACCTATGGATTAAAATCTTTTGAAGAAACTTTGAAGAGGGTGGTGCAGTGAGTAGCATGTTCGCCTCACAGCAAGAAGGTTGCTGGTTCGAACCTCGGCTGGGTCAGTTGGCATTTCTTTATGGAGTTTGCATGTTCTCCCCGTGTTCGAGTGGGTTTCCTCAATGTGCTCCAGTTTCCCCCACAGGTCCAAAGACATGCGGTACAGGTGAATTGGGTAAGCTAAAATTGACCATAGTGGATATGTGTATCAGAATGAGTGTGTGTGGATGTTTCCCAGTGATTGGTTGTGGTTGGACGGGCATTCGCTGCAAAACATATGCTGAATAAGTTGGTGGTTAATTCCACTGTGGCGACCTTAGTTTAATAAAGAAACTAAACGAAAAAGAAAATGAATGAATGAATATTTTGAAGATTGTTGAAAACTGGAAAATCATTGACATCCATAGTAGGAAAAAACATACAATGGACATCAATGGCCAACATTTTTCAAAATATCTTTTTATTGTGTTTAACGCAAGAAAGAAACTAGTTTTGAACAAGTGAAGGTTGAGTAAACGATGACAGAAGTTTCATCTTTAGGTGAACTATCCCTTTATCACCAGGTGTAAACAGAGCCAAAATGACTTTTCATTAAGCACCAAGACTTGAGGACTGTCCCCAGTTTGCCCAGTCCAAACAGAACAGCTGTACCCGTGGTCTGCAGGATTACAAGAACACCAGTCTGACGTGTTTTTTAAAAAAACGTTAACTGACTTCAGATGTCAGTCTTTGAGCCCATATCCAGGAGTCTTAACTCAATAGTAGTGGACTCTCCCAATCGTCCCTGTCCCCGTTCCCAGAATATCAGGCTGTCCGTTCCTCCAGATCTCCCTGATAATCCTCTCCCGCTCCTCCAGCCGCTGCGCTCGCTCCAGTTCCTCAGCCGACGTGAAGACGTTTCTGCCCAGTGTCCCATCCGGAGTGATCAGGTGGTTGTTTATGGGGATTTCTGTGGTGCTGTGGCGAATGGAGGACTCCAGGCCTCCTGCATCCTCCTCTTCCTCTTCATCTTCACTCTCCTCATCCTCCTCGTCCTCTTCGCTAAAGTCTTTGAGCTGTTTTTTCTCCGGCGTGGATAGAGCCGTGGTGGTGCGAGGCTTGCAGGAGATCCGGATGACCAGGAGACAGAGAGTGAGCACCAGGCCAAAACACACGCCGATGACGAAGTAAAGGCCAAAACTCTCTGGATTTGCTGGAAAGCAGGAGGAAAAAAGGCTGGTTTAGTTGATGAGCATCTCAATATCTGTTTGCAGTTCTGTTAAGCTGAGATGCATGTTATTAATATTAGACATAAGAAACGCTCTGACCTTTAATGTGAGCATATGCTGCAATAGTGTTGCTCAAGAAATCCATCTCCTTCCTTTTCACATTCATCCTGGCTTTGTCTTGGGTTTCCAAATCTACTATATAAAAAACATAAGTGCAACATGAGCATGTGAACAGTTGCAGTTCGGCGGTTGTCTTTGAAACACAGATATTTTATATATATATATATATATATATATATATATATATATATATATATATATATATATATATTTATGTGTGTGTGTATGTATGTGTATATATATATATATATATATATATATATATATATATATATATATATATATATATATATATACATACACACACATATATATGTGTGTGTGTATACAGTATGTGTGTGTGTATGTATGTATGTATGTATGTATGTATGTATGTGTGTGTGTGTGTGTGTGTGTGTATATATATATATATATATATATATATATATATATATGTGAGCAATATTACACGAGTAGCAGTGCGATGTGGCTGTATATTGGCACTGGTGGGTGCATGCGTTGCAATATACAGCCACATCCCACTGCTATTCATGTGATATTGCATTTAAACAACAGTTTGACGGCATAATTGTGTATATAAAAAAGAAAATCAAGCACAGGGAGTCTCACAATCTTTTTATAAGAGGAATTATTTTCTTCCACCATTCATTCACATCTGCAGCTGACGTTAGAACAGCAGGAGTCGTTGCTCATTTATAAACGTCACTTTAGAGCTAGTGTTTGAATGATTCTCTAGTGTAATGTCTAATGTTATGACAAAACAGGTGATTTTGTTCACATTTTAAGATTATAAGGCTGAAAAGCATAAAATGCCATCAGTCTACAGAGATTTTCCAGTATTTCTCTGTTGCAATCGGGAGACCACAATATTACTATGGAATAAATGCAACACTAAAACCTACAAAAGAGAGAGATCTACTTACAAAGTCATTTACTTGTTTAATAATGATTTGATCAGCTGTAGTTTAAAATTGTTTTTCTCTTGGGGCTTATTATACATCTCTACCGCCATCTTGTGGATGAACATCGTCAACCGTCTTTGCTCAATGACAGGCTTATTGCCGCTGATGCGCTGTCTCTCAGAAATTATAAATATTTAAAAATAGGCACTATCCTTATAAATAAACAGCATAGTTGCAATCTAAACAACTACATTCTCAACTAAAAAACCTTCAAAGGTACATTATGTAGCCCAGCAGCAGCAATATTTTTCAAACTGTTGAGTGTCCTCTTCTTGTCGCTGTATGTGGACAGAGTAATACACAAGGATGAAGAGGCGGTACGAGTGCTGTTACTGCCAGAATATTGCATGGCTATCAGCCAATCAGATTCAGGAACCAGACAGAAATGTTGTATGTTTATATATATAATTTATAAACATACAATATATATAAATAAATAAATAAATAAATAAATATATATATATATATATATATATATATATATATATATATATATATATATATATATATATATATATATATATATATATTAAGGGTGTCACGATTTAGATTTTAATCGAAAATCGATCGAAATTTATGCTCGACTTCGATTATCGAATCAAAAAATAGAATCGTCGATGCTGCCACGCCCCCATGTCACGTCAGCTTGGCTTGCCAAGCGTGAAAAAAACACGCTTGTTGAAGTGCTTGTTAAACTGTGCAGACGCAGGAGACCCATCGTCAGAGCTTAAACCTTCAGGGCTCGACAATAAGGACTGCCCGATAGCCCGGAGCCAGCGTGCGAGACGCTCGGGTCAGTGTACAGTGCTGCCTTGTTGACTGACAGATTGAGCCAGAGCTGCGTGCTGCGACTGTCTGTCAATTGTGTGCAAATACAATCTTACGGTGCTTTCACACATAGACGTTTGTTTCGGAATCTGTCTCGTTTCCCCAGTTAGCGCGGTTTGTTAGGCATAAATCCAGCAGTTGCGCTCGCATCCGCGCCAAATCAATCAGTCCGAGATCGCCTGAATGAGACGGTCTCTGCCCTACTGAGCGGATCGATTGTAGTGAGAAAACAAAACAGTGCAACGAACTAACGACCCAGGCTATATCACAGTGTTTTATGATCGTGTAATAGCTATATGAAGAGAGAATGCTGAGCAGGGCGAGATGTCATTCTTACCGGTAAATGCGAAAGTGAAAGCATGCTGAAATATTACCGAGAGCTGTTTATCCAGCCTGATCTTGGTTTATCCTTCAGGAAAATTGACCGAAATTACTATCTGTTAATTTTTCCATATTTTAATCGTATAATATGTTGTATTAGGCCTGTTGTTTTGTTAATTTCCGCACTGACAGCTCGAAAGAAAGACTTACATTGATCTGATGCAGTCTCGGTTCATCTGCTCTCTATAATTTAAGCCTATAATGCAGAATTCTAGCCAACGTTTCTTTAATAGATTGATTAATTCAATAGATCGATTTTTACAAAACCTGACAATTGAAATGAGGCTTTTAATATATGAGAAAGTCTGACCTCTGCTTTATATTCGGTGACGATGTTTGTGGGTTGTTAAAATTAAAGTGCACATTTTCACTTATAAAATATTCTATACACAACTGGTCAAAAGTTTGGGGTCAGTATGATTGTTAAATATGTTAAAATAAGCTTCTTCTGCTCACCAAGGCTGCAATTATTTCATCATAAATACAAATTATGAAATGTTGCACTATAAAATAACTTTTCAAAAGTAGTTTATCATATAATTTATTCATTTATTCCAGTGATTTTAAAGATGAAATTTCAGCTTCATTACTCCAGTCACATGATCCTTCAGAAATCACTAATATTAATTATTATTATATTTATTAATGGTATAGTAACAAATGCAATAATGTCTGGAGTAATAATTTTATTTGAAACTACATACAATAACAAAGTAGTTATTTAAAATTTTGATAAATATTTAACAATTTAACATTTTTTACATTTAATAAATGTAGCCTTGATGAACTGAATAAGTTTTCTTAAAAACATTTTTAAAAAATTCTGTAAATATATATATACAGTGGAAGTCAGAATTATTAGCCCCCCTTTGCTTTGTTTTTTTTCTTTTAAAATATTTCCTAAATGATGTTTAACAGAGCAAGGAAATGTTGATAGTATGTCTGATAATATTTTTTCCTCTGAACAAAGTCTTATTTGTTTTATTTTGGCTAGAATAAAAGCAGTTCTTAATTTTTTATTAACCATTGTAAGGTCAACCTTATTAGGCCCTTAAGCTAATTGTTTTTCTGACTGTCTCCAGAACAAACCATTGTTATACAATAACTTGCCTAATTACCCTAGCCTGCCTGGTTAACCTAATTAACCAAGTTAAGACTGCTTCAATCTTTTACTTTCACACTAGTCATTTTAGCAAACACCTCAGATACTGTTGGCTGGTTCCTGTTGGTTGTGCACCTTTTTTTACCGGCGCCATAATAACAACACAGATCACTGCCTATTCACAAGAAAAAAGTGATTGACAGGTGGTAATTATGTGTGTAACTTGCCTTTATTCATTTACTGTATGATTTGTTTATGGGTAAAACAAAGACCATACAGGTCAGGTAGTTTAAACTGTAGGCTACAAATAATTAATTTGTTATTAATTAATTAATTATTCATAATCGAAAATCGAATCGAATCGTGACTTAAGAATCGAAAATATAATCGAATCGAGAATTTGGAGAATCGTGACACCCCTAATATATATATATATATATATATATATATATATATATATATATATATATATATATATATATATATATATATATTTATTTTATTTTATTTTTTTTTCCCAGAGATGGGTTGCGGCTGGAAGGGTATCCGCTGCATAAAAACTTGCTGGATAAGTTGGCGGTTCATTCCGCTGTGGCAACCCCCAGTTAATAAAGGGACTAAGCCAACAAGAAAATGAATGAATGAATGAATATATACATACACGATTTTCTTACTGTACCTTATGATAATCATCTTCATAATAATGGTTGAAACTGCTCTTCAGGTTTTCAAAATTTCAATTTAAAAAGTCAAATTTAAAAAAAAAATAGAGCAAACTAAAATGAGGTCAAAGAGCAAGCTCTTATGTCCTTAAAGGTAAAACCGTCATACAGAGAACTTTTTGAACAAAGAGCTTTTGCTATAATTCTTTTGTACTAACTCAAAGTATATATAACTTGACCAGTAAAAATACCTAAAGATCCCAAACATTTACAGCCCATCCACATGAGCCTGTTTAGTGAGGTTAAAGGTCAGTATTGCCAGTAGCTACCAGGGCCCGCTTCCCTAACAAATCTCCATTTAAACCCGTGTAACCAGTAGTCGTGAGTAAAGGACATGATACAACACTCCTTCCTCATGACGTCCAGCTGGATTCATCTGCACCCATTTCCTTTCCTGTTTTGCTTGCGTCTGTAGTGTATTTCCTCCCTGATTTTTTTTTTCCCCTTTCTAACTGTGAACTCCCAAGGAAGACTCATATTTCCAAAAGCCAACAAATAGCGGCACACCCTCACGTACAGTATGGGGGCAAGAGTTTAAGGAGGTTATATTTATAACCCCAAACAAACAAATCCACCACATTGACAGTTCTGGTTCCCATCTCAGAGCGGGCGCCACAGAAAACACAGAGGTCATGAGCGTCGGCCGGATCTGAACACACTTTCCTGTGTTCTCCTCATTCATCCCATACACTACAGTTCCCGCTGACTGAGGCTTTTCTATTGTTCATGGCTTTGTGACATCACTGCTGTACACATGCCGTTCAAGTGTGTGCAACTCGATAGGAAATTACACATTATCGTAGCCTGCGGAAAAGACTTTTAAAGGCACAGTTCCCCTTAAACTTAGCTTTCTCTTTTTGTTTATTCTACCTTTTTCTTTCATAGGAACACAGAAAATGTTGAACATTGAAACTGTTTCCATTCATTAAAACTTAATTTTAGCTATCTGAATACATGAAAAGGCAATAAAGCAAGAAAGGAGAAAAGTATCCTATGCTAAAACCAATAGTACTTTACTTGAAAAAAAGATAGTAAATCGTTCCCTTATAATTATTATGTAAACAAACTATGTGCATAATTCTAAAAGAAAGTTAAGGGAAAGCGTTTATTCACATTTTTAAAGTGCAACTATGATGAAAATCATTATTTGTAAGCTGTTTGGACAGGACTGTTTGCAGGTATAGTGTGTGCACAGTCATATTGGGGTATTATAAAGACAATAAGTCTCTTTTTTTTTATTTCCTGACGGTAAAATAGGATCCAAATCCCTCCCATTTTGAGGCCCACCGCAGCATGACATAAGAGTGTGGGTTTCCCACCCACCGAATTGATTGACATCTGAGTATTACCATGTCTTCATAGTAACATGTATAATCATATCCACAAGACAGAATGTGCGCAAGGCAACTAGGATTAATAGATCTGTTTAGCTCCCTGTGCTCATCAATCATCATCAAATGTGATCAAGAGTGAGTTTTACAACTTTAAAACGTTTTTAAAACAGTGCATGTTTGTAATAAAGACTGTAAAATTGCTGTGTAATTCATCCCCACAGTCGCATGTTTATAATAGAAGACGCTTCAATTTCGGTTTGTAGACGCTAAATCAGGTTTATTTTGTACATTAACATAACGGATATACATACAGTGCTGGATATTAACGTGAATCCTGTCACATTTGCGTGCAAAAACAGTGCAAAGCGCACTTTTTGTGTGTAGGCGTGAACTTTGTAACGACATTGTTTGTGACTCATTCGTGACTCGTTGTACAAAGGCTTTAATTAACTCCACAACAAATACATCAAATAATCATTGTAAAAGTTCTTACTGTAGTATTTTTCACAAACGTTACATGAGATCTGCTTCCTTCATGTCTCACTGTGCTGTTTATCTGACGCAGCCGGAGATTGAGGCATGCACATTCTGACAGGCACTTGGAAACGGTGGGCAGAACTAGCAGAACTAGCAATAAAGGCACAGGCAACAAAAACAGCTACATTGTGCTTAGAGCAGAAAATTACAATATTCTACAATATTCTAAAAGGTATAATAAATAATCTGATGGGTCTTTTGAGCAGAAACTTTACAGACAAATTCCTGAGACACACTTTTTACAGTATAGTGGTTGGTTTTGAACATGAATTTGCCTTTTCCATGTTGACGCTTAGGTTTATAATAATTTTACTAGTTGTATTAAGCTGAATGTTAACACTGTTGTTATGCAATATAATATATTGATTTTAGGCATTTGGGTTTAAGAAAGAAAAGGAGAAAAGTCTTTTTAAGATTATTTATCCATTTCCATGACTGTAGCACAAATGTTTTCTAGCTATTTTGCTAGATAGCAGTATTTAAAGTGCATTTTAAAGCAATAACTGAAATTTAGATTCAATTTGGGGCTAACCTTTTGCCAATCATACATTTATATAGATATATTTAAATAGATATATGTTTTTAAGGGGGATAATAATATTAACCCTAGAAATTGTTTTCAAAAATGTAAAACCGCTTTTATTTCTCAAGAAGAGAAAAAATTATTGGAAATACTGTGAACATTTCTTTGCTTCATTAAACATCACTTTGGAAAAAAATGAAAAATAACTCCACAGGAGCGATAATCATTTTGCCTTCAATTGCCTGTTATTATTATTTTTTTTTGATTGGACAAATTTCTTGACACTTTCTGGCCTATAAAATAAAGAAAATAACAGAAGAGATTTCAATGTTCTTTTATATAGTTGTAACTTGAGTTGTTACTTTGTTTTATACAAATTAGAATATTTTTCAGTATCAGTTTAGTAACATGAATTAAAATGTGATTAAGATATTTGAAAATGTCATTCTCTATATTTTAATAAGCATAACTTTCCTTGTTGTTGAAATATTCTAAAATAACAAAATTAATTAAAAAGCAATGTACAAACACAAAATTCAGAATTAATAAACAGTTATTCTCTAGATTTTGAGCATATCTTTTAAAAAAGCTATAAAAGCTAGGTGTAAATATTTGTTCTCTAGATTAACTTGTTTCAGTTGTTGGAACAGTAAAAAACTAAACTAAAAATGAGTTGTGCAGGCAACAACAAAAATTACAAAAAAAGCAACAGTAAAGTGAGATTTACCATATAAAGTGGTCAGATTCTCTTCATGTTGTTTCGGAGGGATCAGGCTTCTGGCTCTGGTCCTGTCTCTGTATTCTCTGAATATCTTGGGCCTGCGTCTATACGATGACAAAAGCAAAAGCAAAAGCAAACACGCGCATGTCAGACCACATCACATCTAAATCACTCCGGCATCTGCAGTGCAAACAAACGGCAGGCGCCGGATTGAGCTGCGCACACAGGAAGTCAGCTTGAGATCTAACAGATCTAAAACAGATTCACATTTCATCTATAAAAATACAATAAATCATGTTGCAGATAGGACACCGCTACATGATGAATAAGTCTTTCTCAAACCAAGCAGGAGTAAAATGAAATAAACAGAACTAACTACCTAAACAGAAACTTCATAATGCTTAGATTAGGAACTCTTAGTTTAATTTTGTTCGTTTTCTTTGAGTGGTAGCCTAAATTATTCAGTTTGTGCTAGTTTTAAAGTTACTGTTCAAGTAAAGATAGAGATGATTAGTTGACCCAAAAATTAAAATGTAGTTAATAATTATTTCCCCTCATGCCATTTCATTCCCATGAGACCTTCATTTGACTTCAGAACACAATTGAATATATTTTAGACAAAATCTGAGAGCTCTCTCATCCTCCATAGACAGCAGCCCAGCAGGTCAACATGGTCAGATTGACATTGTACCCCAACGCTGTGAGATGCTGCATTTTGTTTGGAAATTAAAATCAGAACTCAACGCCGGACTGACGTCAATGTTCAACGTCGGACAGATGTTGCATTTTGGTTACTTTCCAACACAACCTAAACACAACAAAATATCAATGTATAATGATGTTACAGCTTGTTGTTGTATAGACGTTACCAATATGACGTTTATCAGATGTTGGATTTTGGTTGCCATACTTGATGAATAAGGGTGCTTTCACACTTGGTTCAATTGCCTGGACTGAACCCAAGTTCAATTGTCCCCACCTTGTCACCTTCTCGGCTGGTTTGTTTGCACTGTTTTTTTTTTTTTCCGTCTGAACCACGGTACACTTGTGTCATTGAGCTGCTCTTGTGTGTACGGTTGTTGCTAGGTGACAAACTTAAAAGCAAATTGCTAAAATGGAAAGACGGACGCACATCGTGGTCCTACTGCTTTTACCAAATCTTTTGACATACAGAAAGCGACTCGTGTCTGTCTGCTGTAAAACTATTATAAACGTTCAGAAAATAACACAATGTCTGTAGTTGTTTTTTGAGGAGACAAACCGACATTATTACTGTGTTTGCACTGGGTCAGTCCCGTTTGTCACCAAAGTACAGTATGTGATACACACACACACACACACACAAACGAATGAACGTTATGAAAACAATAGTTGGCGGTTCACTTCCATTATTTGGTACGATTGCATTCATATCAGAAGTCAACTGGACCATAGTTCACGCAAACTGTACCCCACACCACCTCTTTCAGGTGGACTAGGGTAAGGTTCAGAATTCAGCAAACACGTTCACACTAGCTAAACGTACCATACTTTGACATCAATCGAACCCGGGTGGAGACCAAAAGTGCTAGTGTGAAAGCACCCTAAATGTTAGTATTTGACGTCATTATGCATTGGTTTATGATGTTGGCTCAATGTTGGATTTTGGTCACTTTCCCTCAGAACCTAAAATCAACCAAATACAACATCATTTCACGTTTTTATTGGACATCAAAAGTTTTGAAAATTGTTTTTGGATGCTGGCGACCTAAAGCTAACCTAATATTAACATCCAGAAAAGAAACCAAAAACACTGTCAAATTATCCCGCATTATCATACAAAGCTCCATGAACTTTTTCTTTACTCTTTTCTTTACACTTTCTTCACTTACTTTCTTTACCGCATCCGGTCATCTAGGTGCACATTTACTGATTGATTACAGTTGAACCACTGAAGACACGTGGAATATTTTGACAATGAATTAGTTCCTTTTCTGGACTTTGAATAATAATAATAATTCTTACATTTATATAGCGCTTTTCTAGGCACTCAAAGCGCTTTACACATTGGGGGAATCTCCTCACTCACCACCAGTGTGCAGCATCCACCTGGATGATGCAATGGCAGCCATATTGCGCCAGACCACACACCAGCTGATTGGTGGAGAGGAGACAGAGTGGTGAAGCCAGTTATCATATGTGGATGATTAGGAGGCCTTGATGGACAGTATTGGGCAGATTAGGCCAGGATGCCAGGGTTAAACCCGTGCTCTTTTTTTGAAGGACATCCTGCGATTTTTCATGACCACAGAGAGTCAGCACCTCGGTTTAACGTCTCATCTGAAAGACGGCGCTCACTGAGCAGTATAGAGTCCCGTTTACTATACTAGGGTGTTAGGACCCACACAGACTGCAGGTTGAGCACAACCCCTGGCCTCTCTAACACCACTTCCAGGAGCAACTTAGCTTTCTCATGTGGTCACCATGTGAGAGCTGCAGAGAGCTAACTTCCGCCATTAACGTTTGTTAATGTTAGTTGATGAAAATACAGTCAATCATTGTTAGTTCATGTTAGGGCTGGACGATACTGGAAAAAAAAACATTCATTGCGTTATCTTCACTTTCTGAGAATTATATTGCGATATTGCACAAGATAACTTAATTAATCGACTTAATTTTAGAAGGTGATTTGGGATGATTTTGTAGGGGAGTGCATTTGCATAAAAAAATAAAACAATTTTAAGAGCAGAGATAAAGCAAATATACAAATGAAGGACTCAAACTATACAGGTACAGAAATAAAATTATCAATTGTACAAAAAAATCTGTATATTCTTTGTTGTGTGAATAATTATGTGAATAATAAATTGAAAAAATGTGAATAATAAATCTGTATATTCTTTGTTGTCTGAATAATCGTCTTTCGGATGAGACATTCGTCTTTCGGATGAGGCATTCGTCTTTCGGATGAGACGTTAAACCGAGGTCCTGCCTCTCTGTGGTCATTAAAAATCCCATGGCACTTCTCGTGAAAGAGCAGGGGTGTAACCCCGGTGTCCTGGCCAAAGTCCCTCTATCGGCCCTTACGATCATGGCCGATTATCCCCATCCACCGAATTGGCTCTATCACTGTCTCTCCACTCCACCAATAGCTGGTGTGTGGTGAGCGCCCTGGCGCCGTTGTCCTGTGGCAGCCGTCACATCATACAAGTGGATGCTGCACACTAGTGGTGGTGTGGAGAGACCCCCCTTCATGATTGTGAAGCGCTTTGGGTGTATGGCCATACACAATAAATGCGCTATATAAATACACATTACATTACATTACATTACAATTAAGTACAATGAACCTTTTTTAAAGTTACAAACATAATAGTTAATTTGTTTTGAAAATGCTTTAAACTCACTTGAAATGTTTACAGAGGCCTTAAAATTACTATTGGTAAACTTTCACTTTTTTACTTTACGTTAAACTGAAATAGTATGTGTTCTGAACGGTTGTACCTGGTCAGCTACAATTCTGACTCCATATTGCACGTCCTCTGACGTGACTATTGCGGATTCACACATTGCGATAATGATGCTAAATGAGCAATATCACAAGTAGCAGTGCGATATGGCTGTATATCGGCACTGGTGGGAGGTGTGTCTAGGTGTGACGATATACAGTACAGCCGTATTGCACTGCTACGAGTGTGATATTGTGTTTATACAACAGTTTGACAGAATAATCATGTATATCAAAAAGAAAATCAAACACAAGAGTCTAAAAACCCTTTTGTATGAGAAACTACTTTCTTCCACCATTCCTTCACTTTTGCAGAAACCATTGCTACTTCACACACATCACTTTAGAGCTAGTATTTGAATGATTCTCTAGTGTAGTGTTTAAAGTGATGACAAAGCAAGGGATTTTGCTCACATTTTAAGATTATAAGACAAGAGATTTCCTAGTATTTCTCTGTTGAAATCTGAAGATCACAATAATTCTCCCTAAAAAAGCCAAAGCAGTGGCGAAACACTTATGCAAGCATTTCTTCTTTCTTTCTTTTTACTGAACTAGTCTGCAGTAATGAAAACAGCATTATAAACAAACAGCTGGCCAACCAAAAAGTAACTCAGGGTTATACAAAGAGTGGCCAACACAAAAACATACATTCCTGATATGTCCCATTTCACACTCAACAACAATTATTATGGGATAAATACAGCACTGCAACACACAAAAGAGAGATCGACTTAGAAAGTCACGTACCAGTTGATTAGATCAGCTGAAATTACGATGTTCTTCTCGTCTAAAGGCTTATTATGTGGTCTCTGTTGCCATCTTGTGAATAGACAACATCAACCGTCTTTGCTCTGCTCAATGACAGGTTAATGTCCACCGACACTGTCTCTCAGAAATTATAACTATTTAAAATTGCCACTATCCTTATAAATAAACTACATAGTTGTAATCTAAACAACTACATTCTGGACTAAAAAGGCCTCAAAAGTACAATATGTTGTCCAACAGCAGCAATATTTGTCAAACTATAGAGTGTCCTCTGCTTGTTGCTGTATGTGGGCGGAGTTATACACAAGGGTGCAGAGTGAAGAGGCTGGATGAGTGCTGTTATTTACAGAATATTGCATGGCTATAACCCAATCAGATTCAAGAACGAGACAGAACTGTTGTATAAAACGATATATTGCGCAGCTCTAGTTCATGTATGAATATTGTCATGAATATTGTCATTTGTGTGTGGTGTCAAAGTCCCTCCCAAAAAACAATGAATCACAAGCACACGATCATGACCATAACCATATTTTAATCAAAGTAACTAAAATATAAGTACTTAAAACAAAGTATAACTAAGTAAAATAACTACTACTATATTACTAAGTAAAATAACTACTATAAATTTTATAACAAATAATGATATAGTAATAATGTACTTAATAACTAAGTAAAAGAATCCTTATAATATAAAATAAATAAATAAAAAATTCTCAGAGTAATAAAAGCGACCCAAAATAAGGTAACCATCTGATTTGAAGAGCAATTGGATTAAGTTTTGATTTATTTACTGTAATATGGTTTATTTACTGTAATATCTACTTACTATTGTACTGGTTTTTGACA